TGTCAGTATCCGTTGGTATAGAAACCCAAAACCTCGTGTAAGTGTGTTGATGCGCGTACAGTCATGCAGGGACAGATACTTACTTCTTCATGATGGTGATGCAGTTGGAGCTCTCAACCACCTGTGCAGGATCTTGGCCAGTTGCAATAAAGACTGCGGCAACGATGTTGGCGGCCTGGGCGTTGTAGCCACCTAAAGAAGCCGCCATTGCAGAGCCGATGAGGTTTTTAGACACGTTAAGCTCGACCAAGCTATCCACATTGCTCTTCAAGACGCTCTTAACAACTTCACCAGGGATAATAGCCTCAGCTACAATACTCTTTCCTCGCCCATCGATCCAGTTGATAGCAGCAGCCTTCTTATCGATGCAGTAGTTAGCGGATAACGAGACGATCGTCATATCCTCAAAACCTCCTTCGGCGGCCATGACGTTAAGCGCGTACTCGACGCCCTTCGAGATCATATTCATACCCATAGCGTCCCCTGTGCTTGTCTTGAATCGGATATACAGGTTAGTGCCAGCAATAGCGGTCTTGATGAGCTGTAAACGCGCAAATCTGCTAGTGGAGTCAAAAGCCGTCTTCATTATGCTCTGGCCAGCTTCAGAATCCAACCAGTTCTTAGCGGCGCCGGCACGCTCTAGAGAGTCGAAGCCCACACAGGGACCACGGGTCATGCCATCACTGGTCAAGATAGTGACAGCGCCTCCTCCTGCATTAATTGCCTTACAGCCTCGGTTGACGCTGGCCACAAGCACTCCCTCTGTCGTAGCCATGGGGATGAAATAGCTCTGGCCGTCGACGACCAAGGGTCCGGCGACTCCGACGGGGATAGGCATATACCCGATGACGTTCTCACAACAAGCGCCCAGAACCCGTTCCCAGTCGTAGTTCTCATAAGGCAGCTTGGACTGTTCGAGGAACCAAGTCTTCTCGGCCGTCGCGCGGGTTCTTGAGATAATAGAGCGGCGCACTCGAACAGCGCGGCTGCAATCCCGAAGGCTTCTCTCCAAGCCATACCCAGTGATCTTGCCTTGCAGAGAAAGTGAAATGATCTCGTAATCCGTCATGTCGTATATGCGCTTCTCGGCAAGTAGTTTGTCCAGCTGAGCTTGGCTGTGGGGGGTGACATTGGCTTCGCGTAGTCCTGCCTTGACTGCGTCGTCTTCATCATCGGTCGATGCAGGAGACATAAATTCGGGTTGGATAGCATCTTCGGCTTCACCTGAACGGAAGTCAGTACCCCGCGTACCGATCAACGACTCAGCCGCAGCCGCCTCGGGGAAGTCAGTGGGATCGTGTTGGCCGCCGGGATCTTTGATGCCCCATCGAGCAACATTGAAAAGATAGCCGTTGAGAATCACGCTCATGGCCAGGGCTACGACAACCCACTTCAAGACAACTGTGTTTTCGAGGCTAGTGGAGACGATGCCGACCATTTGTGCACCAACTCCGTATCCGTACCCGAGAGGCTGATGGTGGTTGTTGTCGTCACCGATATGATCGCCGTGTTGAGTCGAGGAGCTAGCGTAGTATGCCGAAGGAAAATCCAGCTCGTACTTGATAGAAGGCAGAATGGTGACCACGGTGGTCTGTTGAAGTCCTGTCGCCCTAAAGAGAATCTCGTCCAGGCCGTTGGAGGCAATCTTGAAGGGGTCAACGGGGGGCGTCGCCACTATCCCACCAGTCCAGGATGCCACACCAGCAGTACGGAAAGGGATGGTACAAAGATTGACGGTGTTGACGGCGAGGAAACCTGCTACCATCCAGAACTTGAACTTTGGCACGATTCCTCTCTGGGCCTCCGGGCCAAATAAGAGTCCATCCTTTCCGGACTTGCCGTTCAGTGCCCAGTCGTTGCTCGAGGCCACATTCTCAGCGACACGGCGGCTCACGCCATCATCTTCCAGGGCTTTTCGTATATCAGCATGACGCTTGATGCGGTTAATTTCCAATTTAACACAGAGGATAGCGGTGTAAAACGTAAAGAGCAAGAGGCAATCGAAAACAAGGACCCAGGCCGCTAAGAAGCAGAACTGCTGTAGACCCCCCCGGACGCCAGACGCAGCTCCGGTAATAAGTATACCGATCTCAATGGCGTAGTCCCGGACGATTTCGTATCCCTTGTCCCTGATTGCGCTTTGCACGGCGGTTTGGATAACCCCCTGGGCAGGATTAGTGGATGTCTCCTCGAGACGGCGGTGCTGTAATGCGTGCGACAAGACGGCACAGGTAAACAGGATTTTTTTCTCAAAACCGATAATAACGACTAAAAACGGCAAACTTTCGGACAAAAGAACGGTGGAGATGGGAACACTATACTTTATCGTCATACTCAAGCCGGAGAAAAAAGCGAAAGTGGAAGAGATGAGGACGCTGGTGGCTAGCCACACGTTGGATCCCAGCTTCCGCATGCTCAAGAAAAGAGAAATGAAGGTCAGATGCATGGAAAGGTAGCCGAGAACCATGATTATGGTGTCGGTCGTCTCTGCGCTCCTCACCAGGTAGAAGAACTCGGCCCAGGCGTCATGGAACCAGCGAGCGACGTTGCTCTTGGTATGAGCCCAGGCGAGCTTCATGATCCACATCTTTTGTTCCGTCTCTCTCAACTTGGCGGCGGAGGATTCATCGTCGGCAGGCAGGCTAGGGATCTCTTGGACTGCGGCCAGAAAGTCAGGGACCTCGCTGTACTTGATGGAGAAGGCCAGAGCGCTCTCATGCGAGTAGGCGGTCGGGTTGTTTAAGGTCAGCGGCAGATGAGAGACGGAGAGATTGCTTGGGAAAGCAACAGTATGCGGAGAAGGCGCAGACATGAGGCGGTCAGTCGATGAGTCGGGGAAAATGAGGGTAGCCAGTGCCAAGTGCTCGGCTTCGTTGGGTAGGTCGGTTGCGACGTCAAAGTTGTTCCACTCCCAGCTGGTCTCGGGGCCAGCAATGAGATGCCTGCTTCCGTCGGCTAAGGAGGTCCATTCGGCCGTTATGGACGTGGTATGGGTGGCATCCGAGAAGGTTTCCTTGACGACTTGGACGTAGGTCGTGCTAGCTAAGATGGCTGTGATGCATATTGTGTGTACAGGGTGGGTGTAGGCGATCTTCGAGACGCATTGTATGATGGAGGCAACTTTTCTGTTTAGCTTGGAAGGCGGAGAAGGCCGGTTGTCCGGCTGTTCACCCCGGAAGCGGGACGGTGGAGGCGAAGAGGGAATCATGACGGATTGGGGCTTGCACCAAAACGGGCCTTGAGCACAAAGAGTAGATCCTACAATCTGCTCGACATCCGTCGTCAGCAATCACGATAGAATGATTTGTTGGCGCCCTTTTTGCCCACCGGCATCCCCCCTAGAGGTCTTGCGACGCGCTGACTGCGCTGACTGCTTGCATTAGATACGATCCCGGCCGCATTGGATGTCCGCATTGGAGGACCAAAGGGGGATTGAGTAGTGTCACAGTAGAAACCAGGCGGCATACCTCATCTCCCAGCTTTCTAGGTGTGAAGTAGTAGGTAGGCCGGATCCATCAGAACGAGGGGTGCTTCTGCTTCAAAACAGAGCCGGCGATATCTCTGAAGGGCGCCAATGGAAAATCGATATTGCTGCCGCGTCGTATGTATCTGCGTGTGACGAAGAGTATGTATGTGTGAAGGAAAAGGCCAGGCAAAACTAGACAACGAGATTGACACCGCGGTGGTAGGGCAAGTGACCTGCAATATTGCGGCTTCTTCACGTCGGGGGCTGGCGTGGTCGGGATTGGGTCTCAGATTGGAAATCCGGATTCCGATCCTGGTGTACCATTTTGGTAGGCGGATGTTGAAGAAGGAGGGATTCGAATCCTCCTCGACTCCTCAACTCCTTGACCAACAGTGGCACCAAGGGTCGTACGGCACGGGTTCAGACCACGATGCGACGGGGTTGGATCGATGACAAGAAAATGATTGAGTTGCCTTGCAGCAGTTTGTGGACCTTTGGAGTGCTGTGCTGCCCAGCATTGAGTCCTACGACCCGCCAGCGGCGTTGGCGGGTCAGACAGACACGACGTAGCGGTTGTAGCTGGGGATCGAGAACAACAATGTTTTCTTGGCAAAACGTCGTATTTTGACTATCAAAACGCTGTTTCTTTGGGGTTAAGACAGCATTACGTTAGCCCCTACGGTAGCGCTTTCGGCCAGGGTTCATCTCCGTTCGGAACTCTTTCACCCCTCGGCATATCCTATTTCCGGACAGTGGAGATGTTTGCCTGTTTGAACTAGCGTTGAAAACGTGATATACGTTGTTACGGTCCGATACGGGTACGTTGTTTTTTTGGCGAAAAAAAAACGTATAATTACAGCCAACAACAGGGCAATCATCTCCAGAGTGGTTGATTGGTGAAACGGCAACGAAGTTCCGAATTGCTCCACCCGGATAACTCGATTATTGCTTCGGCTATGCATGTACTCGGCTATGGAGACAAAAGAGGAGACTTCTAGGGGCTGGAAGATGCATATGGAGAAAGAGGATGTCAGCTGCTATGTCGTATTCTGGCGGGCCACCAGTTCCAGATTATTGCTACTGCTCCCAAAGGATACGATTCCCTAGCTCGTAGCAAAGTTGGAAATACCTGTTGGAACGGAACGCTAGACAAGTGAGCTGGATCAATCTTATTGATATCCAAGACGTTGCAGCCAAAGTTTGCTGTGTACCAGGCTATGACATATCTACAGATTGTTCCATGTAGAGTCTCCTTCTAAGCTTCGGGATTGATTCTTGAAAACGGCCCCCTTCTTATTTCCGTCTCTTTGTCACGACTCCCAAGTCACAGGGATACTGCAGTACACACAATGGACGTCTGCCGAAGCCCCCCAGAGCGCTTCTGTGTATCTATGGATTTGGTGGCTTAGCCAACATTTTCCGCGTCCAGACAGCCAAACTTCGTACGGCTTTACGACACGAGTTCGAATTTGTCTATGCCATCGCTCCCTTCGAATCCGAACCCGACCCTGGTGTGTTGTCGCTGTTTCGAGGCATGGGCCCGTACCGTTCATGGTTTTGGAAGGACGACGGTGACAAAACCACCAGAGTGAACCGAGCGAACGACGAAGAGAAGCCCAGCGCGGAGACTTCGTCGGTGGGCGGCCGGCTTTTGGCCGTGAATAAACCCGTCCAGGAGGTTGTCGAGGACTGGCAGAAGAACAACCCGCAGATTCCTATCGTTGGGGTCATCGCCTTCTCCGACGGCGCATTGGTGGCCGCGTTGCTGATTTGGCAGCAACAGACGGGAAGGCCGCCGTGGTTCCCAAAGATGGATGTGGCCATGTTCATCTGCTGCTATTACACCGAGGAGGCCACAGACTACATAAAGACCGAGTCGCCGGATGATCAAAAGGCGATCCTGATGAACGTGCCGAGTGTGCATCTCCAAGGCCTGCAAGATTTTGCTCTCCAAGGGTCGCGGAAACTGGCCGCGACGCACTTTTCCCCTGGAAACGCCGACATACTACAGTTTCAGGGCGGGCACCACATTCCCAGTAGGAAGGGTGACGTTGATGAGGCTGCAAGGCGTTTCCTTAACTCGTATAAGAACTAGAAACCCAAAGCGCTTAACGCCTAGTAGGAGCAGGTTTGATTGGATTCACAGCTGCTTTCGCGGTTTATCTCGTCAATATAGTAGTAATAGCGAAACGGAATAAGCGAATCTACATGTAAGTAACGGCGGCGCTCCCTAAGGACCGCGATTGGGATGTGCTATTGATTGTGTTCTCACTCAGAACGCTCGCTCGGCGCGTCGGCTGTCTTATCTAGGTACCTGAAAGCTGACTAACACCGTCCGTAACCGAGGAGGAATTTAAGCCAAGCCCAGCCTACTTAAGCAGCGGCTCGCCCCGTCCCTAGCTTACTGTTTATAAAGACGGTTTATAGGCGCCAAGCCACTTGGTTCTCTCGGAAAGATAACAGCACCAGCAGCAGCCCTGTCTCCACCCGGCCATCTCTATTGGCTGTTGATATTTCTGCATCAAGCTACGAACGTGCTTTTGATAACTCGCTCTTCTTTTTATACTCGGTTGCCCTTAAGAAACCCCCACTGACCTCTATCTCACACAAACACGTCGCGTGGCCACCGGCATCCGGGACGATGGAAAAACCCGTCAACGACACTTCTGTGTCCATCGGCGCGCCGGAAAAACGCGATCATGTCGACGAAATACCCCCGAAAGATCTCAGCAATACGCAGGAGGTGGTGGAGGATGTCGAAAAACAGGAGTATATTTCCGGCGTCCAGCTTTGGCTGGTGCTTGCCTCGGTCACTCTTGTTGCCTTCGTCATGCTCCTCGACATGTCCATCATCGTGACGGCAAGTTGTTCCAAATCTGCCATCTGCTATATTATAAGCCTCTGACCTCGTGCGAACAGGCGATTCCTCAAATCACAAACGACTTCCATTCCCTTGGCGACGTCGGGTGGTACGGCAGCGCCTTTCTCCTGGCCAAGTGCGTCACGTCCCTCCACCACCGCCGATCCAGCCCACGTTGTCGTTCCCATTATCCACTTGCTGACTACTTTTGGGTACAATAGCTGCGCCCTCCAACCTCTAGCTGGCCGGCTATACACATTGACGAGCTACAAGGTATAACCCTTGGCTGCTCTCTTTCCCGGCCACATGGCTAACACAGTGTAGTACACTTTTCTTGCTTTCCTCTTCGTCTTCGAGGTCGGATCTGCCGTTTGCGGATCTGCCCAGTCGTCCAAGGCATTGATAGTCGGTCGAGCTGTGGCCGGCATCGGTGGTTCTGGTATCATGAATGGTGCCCTTACCATCGTCTCTGCCAGTTCCCCCATACACAAGCAACCGCGTGCGTGGCTCATCTCTTGCCTGTTTTCTTACTCAATTGGTTAACTGAAAGTGTACACAGTCATGGTAGGGACCATGATGGGATGTGAGTAACAATCAAAGCAGAACCAAATTAGTGATATCGCCTCTGACTGGCAATCAGTGAGCCAAATGGGCATCGTGTGTGGACCGCTCGTTGGAGGCGCTTTCACACAGGGAGCTAGTTGGCGATGGTGTGAGTGTCCTTCTGATATCAAATCGACATGTCTCTTTTAACAACTCACTTAGGCTTTTACGTCAACCTACCCATTGGTGCTCTGGCGGCTGTTCTGCTCCTCACCATTCGTATTCCTGATCATCGCTCCCCTGAAATTGCGTCTGGACAAACGCGTTTGAAAACAATAGTTTCCAAACTCGACCTGACTGGCTTCCTCCTTTTCGCTGGTTTCGCCATCATGATAGAGCTGGCACTCTCGTGGGGAGGGTCCGATTACCCCTGGAGCAGTCCTACCGCGATCGGCCTGTTCTGCGGGGCCGGCGTCTCCTTGGCCATCTTTGTGGCATGGGAGCACCGCGTTGGTGACGATGCCATGATCCCAGGCTCTGTTGCCTGCCGGAGTGAAGTCTGGAGCGCATCCCTTTACCTAGGCTTCTTTTCTGGCGCGTTACTTTGCTTCTCATACTACATGCCCATCTACTTCCAAGCGGTCAAAGGAGCATCCGCCCTTATGAGCGGTGTTTATCTCCTCTCCGGGATCTTGCCTCAGCTGGTCATGGCCATCTTGTCCGGCGCACTTAGTAAGTAATCAATAGGGATGATGGATATGCCACTGGCTGCATGGTTCTGAATAACTTACATTCACAGTTGGAAAAATGGGATACTATTTACCTTGGGCATTGGGTAGTTCCGCCATCATGCTTGTTGGCGCTGGTTTGACGACAACTCTAACGGTGCAGGCAACGGTTGCTCAGTGGGTTATGTATCAGTTTGTCGCCGGATTCGGTCGAGGCTGTGGCATGCAAACGGTGAGACCTCTCCTTCTTGTTTCCCAGATCACACCAGAAACGTCTCCTAGCTGATTCTCTTCCTGCCAACCAGCCCGTCATTGCGATCCAAAACACGCTCCCAGCCAAGCAAATCCCGCTCGGCATGTCACTAGTCATCTTCACACAGACCTTCGGAGGGTCCCTCGCGCTGACGATTGCGCAACTCGTCTTCAACAGCTGCTTAGAAGCGGCCATCCCCAAGTTCGCACCTACGGCAGACGTGGACGCCATAATCTATGCTGGCGCAACCGGTTTCTCCTCGGTGGTCACTCCAGACGAGCTTCCCGGTGTTTTACGCTCCTACGCCTATGCCATCGACAAGACTTTCTACGTTGCGCTGGGTGCTTCAGCAGGGACGTTTTTGTTTGCTTGGGGCATGGGATGGCGAAAGATTCAGCAAAAGAAGGGCAGTGATCCTTCGGGCGTTCAAATCCAAACAGCATCGGGTGATGGAAGCAGAACAGAGAGCAATGAGGCTTAGATGGCTTGTAAGAGGACTTGACTAACTAAGCCAGGTGGGCGCTCGCTGAAGTGGCATCTGTAGAGATGAAAGGTGTGGAGGGTGGAAGAGTTAGCTTTCGACTGTGGCAGAAATGTTTCTGTGAATATTGTTACCGTTTTTAATACCAAGGCACACTGATTAGAGGCTTGCAGCCTGCAACGAATCCAAGATGGGTTCATTTATATCTCTCTCAAGCTTTCAATCTAACGTCCCACACCTAGTTACGGATTACCACATCCAGACCACCTCAAAATAAATCATTAAAAGTATATTATACTACTTTCAAATTTTAATAACTTCCTTATTTTTTATCTAATCGTTACTAAACTTTCTATAAAGCGTAATAATTACTAAATAGCTTAGTATATAAAAGCAAAAGTTTTTTAAGTATTTAAAGCTATTTTAACTAATATCAACTTATAAAAAACTTTTTTTTAATATAATATATTAAAACGTACTTTGATATATTAAATCTATAACGCTTAGCTTAGAGAAATTATTTTTTTAATTAGTAAAAGCTTTTTCTTACTTAGGAAAGCTAATGAATTCAATAGGTTTAAATCTGAGCTATTTTAAACTTACCTCTAACTTATTAATAACTTGAAGATTTTATTAAATGTATCTTATAAGTTTAAAGAGACTTTTAACTACTTAGATGAGCGAGACTACTGAAGCGAAATTGGCCTGCGCAAGACTCTCAGACACTTAATACGTCAATGTGAATCCTGGTCTAGAATGTATCCTTCGAATAGTTCGACCGCAGCCAATCCGCAACTTATATCCAATGAAGATGAATTCGAAATTTTTGACGACTTGATCTTACATGCCAATAGACACCGTTATTTAGTTAGCTTAGGAATCATCCCATGTCTCAGGGCTGCAGTTAAATACATCACCGTCCTGTAAGAACTAGCGTGATTAAAGAACATTGGTCACGTAATGGCTAGCGTGACCTAACACATCGGATACTAACTAGTAAGCGTAACTAAGAAATTACGTTTTCGAAATAATAGATGTGACGGAATTCTCCCCGATCACAGTAAAGAGTCCCATGACCAAAGCCCTTTAGTTACGTGGGAAGTCTTCAGTCACGCGAAAACCTTTTCCCATGTAAAGATTAGGGGAGGTGGTCACTAGACGTCTGTGACTGCAAGAATATTATTTTGAGTATTGCTGAATATACAAATAATGCAGCACACCTACTGTGGGTAGCTGATGAAGAGCTACCTCACAATCAGAGCATGCATTAGCGATAAAGCGTGTGGTGATGAAAACTTGAAGAATGAATTACTCGCTACGAACGTCCTTATGGATATCATGACACTTTAAGAGAATCTTGTTCCTAAATGATATTTGGAGGTCGCCCTGAATGAGTCTTTGAACTTGGCATCTTCCTCTCGTTCGTGTGGTCTCTACGAGTTTAACCCAATCATTTCTGAATGCAAAAATGACAGAAGACTTCTCACTTTTCATACCTAAAATTGACGGAAAGAAACTAATCATGAGTAGACCGGAAAATTGATTCTAAGCCAAATTCCAATCTTCGACAGACCGAATCGACTTCCTCACTTTGGTAGGATATGAATGCGGGAATGACTGTCGGGTGGTCAGAGATAAAGTCGGCAAATTTATACCCAATTGATTTCTGCCTCGTAACCTCATAGGGGTTCGTCTATGGGTTTCACTGACCGCGTAGCTGAAACGTGTATTAGTATAGCCTATCTCAGCATACCTTAAATGAATTAAGTCAACTGCATATCAGGCAATCCGAATCCGCTCAAGTTGTCCACAGACCAAGTCCTCTCTAGTACGATTTTCCATATGTTCAACTTTTGGTGGTTCAGCGGCTCAGGCCGTTGACCTTATGTGTGGTGTGTATCACTGAAATTCCACGTCCCAGGGCTGGGAAATCTAAAGCTGTACGGCAGTACTTCGCTAAATTATCGTCTTCTTTATAGTGTGTTGTGGGGCTGACGGACACCCCGGGACTTTGGATGTCTTTCCACAAACTGAGGCATCAACTGCACGGTGTCGTAGATCTAGGCTTTATGCTTCGTCTGAGTCTTTGAATCATATATTAGTCAAACGGGGAGGCCAGCAGACCTCACGCACCTGTTAATTTATCATAGAGAAAATGCGTATTTGGCATTTGTGTCAAGGGCTGATATTTATCCTACGTTTGCAATGCGCCGTGGCTTTATTAAGACTGTGTTCTAAACCTTCAACAGGGCCACCACACACATCATGCATGCTCTGGTCAACTAGTGTGCTGCTTTTCTGGGAGTGGCGGCAACAGAATACGGCATGAATGTCAAAGGTATTGAAATATTGCACGTGAAGAATTGGGCATAGTCTACCTGCAAGAATATTCATGCCGCAAAGCGATCATGTATTAGTAGTGACCAACTGTAATACCTAGAGCCGTGTATAACGCTACTTATGGCATTATGATTTTGGATATCAAGCCCTCGCAAATTGAAGAGGGCTTGGGGAATCTCGATTCATGCTTTTTGAACGTTTCCCGCAATATCTGGAAACAAAGTGGCACCATAAAGAACGTCTGCAATGTCTCTTAGTCGGGGTCAGGGACGCCAGGCAATCCGAAGTCTGAGGAGAATGATCAAAAATTAGAATACAGTTTGTCAGTGGTAAACAACAATGTTGGGCTGTACCAATACTGCCAGATTGACTATTCTGAGGGTAATGACTATGACCTCATTGCGCCACATGGCCATTGAGGAGGTTCGCGCCAATTATCCAGCGTATCGATGAAGCAACAGGTGAAAACAGAGGCTTACTGATCCTTTGTGACCAGTACTTTTCCAATAATCTCGGCTCCGGTGAAGAGGACAAGTGCATTGGAGGACTGAGGTGGGCTACCTCCCTGCCTATGGCCACCACCCGCACTGACAAGCTGACATTTACGGGAAAATGAGACTCCATCACAGATTTGGGGTTCATATTCCATACGCTTAATGACAGCTGTCACCTTAACAATCATCGTGAAGCCGATGCAAACCATAACCATTATTATAACATAGTTCGGGTACGGCAGTGGCACCATAATCAGCTAATACCTTACCAACTAGTAGTTAGAGGTCTCAACGCAACGAACATGAAGTCTTCACGCATTACCCACTTCGCAAATACAACTAGGCAATACATCGCATAGGAATTAAAAAAACGGAGACCAAGACAGGAGAGAACTACGACCGCTTCAGAATTCCCCTGTCATTCCAAAACACTGACATAAACCCTGGCGTGGTGGATGTAATCCAAATGCTAACAAACAACGGCGTGGCATTGAACAATATAGACAGGATTCGCCTAACCTCAACCAAACTTCTCCAGTTGTTTTGCGAGTGCGGTGGGCTTCATCTTGCATGGATTGTCACCAAAGGATTCAGCACTAACATGAACAACAAGAGTCGTCAGGTACTTTCCAGGCCCCGGAGCTTTCGAGCTCAAATTGAAGAACAGGCGTGACATCTGATATGTGACATTCCATGGAGAGCTATCTATACCCTGTTAGGAAGTTGAGCTTGTCGCGAGGTAACATCAAAACCATGATGAGTGGGGCGCTGCGGCTTATTCGGTTGAGCATAACCCGTGGAAGTGAGGGGAAGCCTGGGATGGTGAGGAGAAACTCGCCCTTGTGAAAAGCCACTGAGCATGGAAATTGAAATGGCCGTAGAGAAAAGGTTAAATCATAACTCAGAACTATCCGGCCGGACAATACTGGACCTAGCAAAGTCGTGAAATGGCATTGTTTTCGCGACTCAGCGGCCGAACCAATATGGCTGCAGACGAGATTTTCGATATTCATCAATTACTTGCGCGAGTGAGAAAATTCATGGGTTCTCTTTGTCGCGAGATGCTACTCGTAGCTGCATGTCTCATCCTGGTCATCAGCCCAACCAACGCTCAGGCTGCCCCGAGCGCCTATCTACAGACCCCCGTTCAGCGTCAGCTTGACTGGCACTGCATGGAGTACTATGCTTTTATCCATTTTGGACCCAACACTTTCACCAACGAAGAATGGGGTACGAGCCAACAGATGCCTGATGTCTTCAACCCGACGGCGCTCGACACGGACCAATGGGCCAAGTCATTCGCCGATGCGGGCATGTCTGGTATGATCTTGACCGCGAAACATCATGACGGCATGGCGCTGTGGAACACCTCAACCACCACATACAAGATTGCCAACGGAGGCTGGGCTAAGAACCGCACGGCAGCTGGGCTGGAAGTTGATGTCGTTCGCATGGCTGCCGTCTCAGCCAAAAAATACGGTCTCAAGTTTGGCGTGTATTTGTCGCCCTGGGACATCCACCGCGACCCAGCCATGCCGAAGCCTCTGCTTAACGGCACTATTTTCGACGAGCCGCAGATCTTTGGCGATAATAGCGCCGGTGACTACAATGATTTTTACCGGCGCCAGCTCACGGAACTGGTGGATATGACTCTTGTAGATGGTAGTTCTGTGTCGCTCTTCGAGATCTGGCTGGACGGCGCCAGCGGCTCTAGCACTGTTCAAACCTTTGACTGGGCAGGATTTCGCGACATTATCCGTACGCATCAACCGGCAGCAATCATGTGGGGTCACCAAGGTGTGGACGCTCGATGGGTGGGCAACGAGGACGGGGTCACGGTCCCCACCAACTGGCATACCATCAGCCGAACACAGGACCAAGAGCGTCTCAGCGAAACAGATTTACAAACAGGCCTGCGAGACGGGCTGCATTGGACCCCGGCCGAGGCCGATGCTCGAGTCCGTACCGGCTGGTTCTGGCACGCCGACGAACAGCCTAAGACGGGACAGCAGCTCTTGGACATGTACTTTCAGTCTGTCGGGCGAAGCGTGAGCCTCCTACTTGACGTGCCGCCGGATGCATCGGGTCGAATAACCAAGGAAGATATTGATGCACTGATGGAACTCAAGCGTCTCAGAGACGACTTCCTTGGTCGGAACCTGGTCACTACCGAGTCAAAAACCACGGCTAGTAGTGTCCGAGGCGGGGAAAACTCTACGTTTGGTCCCTCAAACGTGCTGAGTTCTTCAACCGACACGTACTGGAGCATGAATGATGAAGAACGCACTGGCTGGTTGGATATTGACCTGAATGGTACAAGCCATGTCGATGCTTTCGTTGTCCAAGAGCATGTTGCCCTGGGCCAGCGAGTTGGCGGGTATAACATTGACTGTGTTGTTGACGGAACATTCAAGACAGTTGTAAACGGCACCTCCCTCGGCTACAAACGGATCGACCGGCTTGAAACTCCTGTGGAAACTACCCAGATCCGGTTTCGGGTCACACAGGCAAATGCAGTGCCTCTGATACAGAATATTCAAGTACTCGGCACTCAGATATCGTGAGTTGGAAGACAAAAATCATAGTGTCTGCGCTGAATCAATTCCTGCTTCTGGCCGCCTCTTGAGTGTCGTTTAAAAGTCTTATCTAAATGTTTTAAGATCATGTTCCATGTGTACATCTGTCATCCGCAAGAGACTATTTTGGAAACTGAAGATTGTTTGTGCTTGTCGTGTGTTTCCTCTCAACCAACTTCACAACTTCTATCGGGTCTATTTGAAGGCCCTCATCTTTCGATGTGGCAATCTCTCTAGTGCCTTTTGATTCTGCAAAATGGACCGGCGTGAAACTAAGGGGATCAAATTAACATGTCTTATCACATGGCTCTCGATTGATGACGCATATTACACCTGAAGGGTTCTGTCTTTAACGATGTATCTTCCATATCAGCGTTTGCTACTTGCATAACCCTCAGGCACTTTCTGCGGACAGAATTCGACAGTTATGAAAACGGTGTATGGATACATTAAAAAAAAGTCAAAAGATTAAGATATTAGAAGCTGTTGAGAGACTGAACATCAGTGAATAACATCGGCACATGGAATAGTTAAGGAACGTATCAGAAACTAATCGAGTCGGATTCTGTATATAGTTATAAACATATTAGAAAACAACTAGAATTCAGAATAGCCGCCATTATTATAGACAGTTCCGGAGACTGCTATTTAGGAATGTTAAAACATCGGATTAATGATTACGGCATCGTCATACTAGATCAGCACCCGGAGCAACGGACCTCCATCATTAGAAAAAAGCATATAAAGTCAAACAAGCAAGATCTCTTGGTACCTGATATATTTATAGTCAACAGAAAAGTGGATAGAAGATAGGAAAGCGAAGAAAAGCCGCGTTACTATAGTCCCGAGTAGTCAATAGAGAAGATGAAAAAAGTGGCCGTGCACAAATTATTACACAACTCAAAATACATCGAAGTCCATTAGCTCTAGTATTCTATTCTAAAGCTGCGTTAAGAAGCCTTTTATGAAAATAGGCAAGTCCTCTAAGTATACTTCTAACACTCGGACAGTATCCTTTAAAAAGACATTCTTAAGCTCCTTATAAAATGAGCTAACCTAGAAAGAAATACTAATAGCTTTCTCTATCAAGATATGACTAACCTACATTCAGACTTTATCAGTATAGATTTAAACATAGCTAAGTCTATCGTTCTATCCTTAATACATCGTTTAACATCTTAGTTTACCATCACGGGGACAGATTAGCCGAAGTAGTGCGGCATTTGGACGAAGGACTAAATACTACCCAACGCTATAATACTGCCGCGCGGTAAACGAAACAGCGCTAGTTTCATATAATTAGCAAAAGTGTTGCTGCCCGGATGGTACCCAACTTCTCACCATGCTTGACGCTATACAAGGACAGCAGCACGAGAGGCAGTTGTCCTGTTCGAGTTTAGTAGTTAGATGCGTGAGCGGCTATGTGCCGCTCAAGCGCTCGGCACCTCTTCAGTATGAAGGCTACTGCGGGCAGAGTGCTACTTGGTAGGTGAAGGGAGGTAGCATTGTTAGATGTCTATCAGCAACGCGAGTATCGGCCCGCCGCTTGTTACCAGGATGCTTTAACTAGAGCCTCTAAGACGTACATCGTTTATGCTATGAAATTGTTGTTCACTGACCTAGACCGCATTAAATCACACATAGACGACATGTCCCAAGCAGAATATTCTAGGGATCATCTGCTTAGCCTCTGATGTTGTTAAGGTGCTTCTGCTAGTAATCTCGAGGAAAGCCTGAAAACAACGAGTTACGGCCCATTGCGATGGAAGTGGGGGAGATGTGAAATAATTTCTCTACGAACTCTATTCTTGGTAGCGCTGATTCGCAACTGGCACAACCACCCCTCTGGCATTATCTCCTGCCGACCGTCGTAGCCCACTTGCTTCCGTAGTTGATGCGTCTACCGTGCACTAACATTGCCGAGCTATTCTTTCGGTTGTAACAGTACATCTTCAAGCCTCAAGCTTAAGCAGCTAGGATGCCTGGCGCTGTTTCCGGATTGAACAGGTTCCATACAAATGGCATGCCTTGGGACAGCCCGTCCGAATCTAGCTTTCGCTTGCCAACCTCATCACTAAACTTCTGGAGGGTTGATGTATACCTCTCAGCGGCGGCCCGCACCTTGTCGTTCACTCTTCCTTTGAATGAAGGTTCATCAAAAAGGAATAAAATGGAATCAGGCGTGTTGATAATTGGACCCTGATTGAAATTGGCTAGGAGGGCAATCTGCTGCAATGAAGCATTGAGATCGGGGAGGAAAGGGAGGAGGCTGGTGACCCCTTTTTCGACAGGAAAGGGATGATAGAGGCAGAGAGGATGCATCGGAAGAACTCCGCTATACTGCACCAGGCTGTTGCTGTTGAGCGATCCGTGAAGTATCGAGATGAGATACGCCAGGTGGGCCAGCACATCGACAAGCTCAAGTCGCGTTGAAATCGAGCTTGGAAAATCGACAATAGAAGCCTCTACAGCAACTTCCTTGAACCACCCAATCAACTCCACGTCTTTTGCAATGGCATCGTCGTTTTCGTAGTAGGCGTCCACAAAGTCCGTGAGGAAAGCCCGCATGGCGTGCATGATGACGGATACATCTTCGTAATACGGGAAAAACTTTAGCGTCGGGCCGTATTTACAGTTTAAGAGACCTCGTCGAACGAGCTTGGTGGAGAGGTAGTTTCTGCGCCAAGCTTTGCCATCAGACTGCCACACTTGCTGACTGTACGTGACGGCCTCGGCGCCATTCCATGGAAAGTTCTTCTCGATATCGCACCCGGGACAGACGAGACTTTCACTTGCTGCTACTCTGTATGCAAAACTGTTGACACCAACTATTGCGGTACTATATTAGTTTCACTCTTTGGACACGGCTAAGAGTTGACAACTTACGGCGTCGGATCAGGCCCCAGACAGGATGGGCGTCACTGAACGCCCGAGTAGCCGACATCCATACAAGGTCGGAAGAGAAATGTGCTGCTGCCAGATGGTACCACTGATTGTGCCAGACATCATTAGAGTTGAGCAATATTTTAGCCAACTTCCAGTCATTAGCCGAGTCGAGGGGGGTGTAAGTCAGGGGCGAGCCATTGTTCGGGCGGATTGCGAGTGGTAGAAAGTCGCCTGAGACCGGATGAATGAAAAAGAAGGCTTGACAAGCGCCGGCGTATCTGCCGGCCGTCAACGTGAGGTTAGCCAAGCTGCTGTGATCTATAATGAACAAGCGTCCTTGCGCCTGGAGGCTGCTCTGCGTCTGTGTGGAGATCTTCTGGGCAATTTCGTCTTCGACTTGTATAGTTACAATCTCATCGGGTCTGACTCTTCGGAGGCTTTCGGGGTGTACTGAGAGGCGCTCCATAGCGAAAAGCAAGTCCGATTGGTCATTGGAGAGAACCCCTTCAGCGATCCCACTCGGAACGCTCTTTCGCCATCGTCCTTTGTACAGCTTGGAATAATCCTCGAGTGAGTTCAGGCGGAGTGTCTGGAGGTTCGGAATTAGAAAACCCTTATATTGTCACCAATGCGATGAGGTAAGTATATACTTGGTTCATTGCCGCCTGGATATCGGCCACATCTTGGTCTACCAGCTGTTGGATGCGTCCCTGATGGATGCCAAAATCTTGGAATTGTTGATTAACGGCCTTGCTACCTAGAGAACCGGCAGGCCAAGGATTAACGCCGATGAGGGTGTCATCAATCCCATATGTAAAGTTTTGACGAGTGTCCTCGATTTCGACAGTTCGGGCCGAGTTATTTAAAGTCGGCGTTGAATAAGGCGCCAAGGGTTGAGGGAGACTGAGAGCCGTGGGCACTCCACTTACGACAAGTAAAAGTAGGTTTAACATAATATTTGCTCGAGTGAAACATTGGAAGCGTGAAATGGAGCAGAGTATTCACGACCGGTGTAATTGATGGGGGAGGGTGATGTAGAAAGATGGCAAGTGGGTTCGTCCCAACCGTGCATGACAGCTGCAGCAGTGGCTTAGCAAATGAAGGGCCCCTTTAGCGACGACGATTGTTTTCAGAGTGTACTACTGTATCAGGCCAAAGTTTAACGCCCCTATCAGATATATTCGGCCGTGCTCCCAGAGATTATAGCAGCAGCACAACTTTTGAGATCTGCGAGCACGTTAAGCACAAATTTGGCCATTGAGAGTCACTGCTCTGCATGGGCCAGACCCACACTACCTGGTAGGGACATGGAGTTTAAACTTACCCATACCACCATTATAGAAGGCAAATGTTGGCACTAACCAGGGTATAGAGAAACCTTCTTACTAATTTTCAGTACAGGTTCGTCTGATCCGGAGGAGCCGCGAGCGTAATTAGAGTTTTGGTCCTCGGTATCCGCGGACCGAGAAAATAACGATTATTTTCTAAATGAAACAGGCACGAGTGTGGCATAAGACAGGATAGAGGAAACCAATTTTACATTCTTTCAATAAAGGTTCGTCTGATCCGGAGGAGCCGTGAGCATAACTGTGTTATTAGGGCTCGGTATCCGCGGACTGAGAAAACAGTTTTGAATAGCCGGCGATAATGAAAATCCACTCTCAGCACCTTAATAGCCGAAATGTGTAACCGTGAACTATGAAGTTACCTCGCCCGCCTAAAACTTTATCTATATATAATGGGAATCCTAAAGTACTCATTTAATTTTGGAAAGTTTATGAAAAATTAACAGAGTAATTTCCGAACCCGCTTTTCTTCCTAACTAAGTTATCTGCCTTTGCAATTGCGGAAAAGTCTATAATTTACGGATGTTTGCTCTTCTCCCGCTTTTAGTATTTGCTTTGGGAACCGATGCTTTGTTTTCATGTAACTTCCAAAGCCATGCGTAGATTAAGCCTCGAGCGGTCGATCGTGAGTATTGTTGCAAAAACTTATATTTACTCGCAAGCGGAAGCTTAACGATGAATCGGTACTATAGATCGTGATCTATGCCTAGGCCTTAAGGCTATTGCTAAACACGTATATCTTCCATGAGACGGAGCGACTGTTTCTCTGGAGATTCTGACAGAGGCGGTCAATAAGTCTGTTAATATTTACTCCCGTCTAAGCGAGTTTCTGGGTGGCTTGGCTTCGAAATTATCGACGATAGGTCACCCCAAAACCTTTTATTCAAATGATATAGGGGCCCACGGAGATTTTAAGTGCCAAAATGTTGACGGAGTTTTGTTTATTCCAGAATCCAATACTATAATGGCTCAGTTATTGAGCATCATGCCAGCTTGAGCCGCGCAGATGCCTGCTTGAGCGATAACCTGATAGGCCGGAAGGAATTTAATACTCTTTATAAAAGCTCCAATTGCACTAGCAAGCTTTTTCAAGGCGAGAGCAGCTCGGTTCTAAGCGAGCATGGCTGAAAACCCCCAGTTTCATGTCACGGGTTCTTAAAAGTCTGGAAGTTTTCTCGAAATGGCTATCATTACGAAACTATTCCGCGTAAATAACACAACAGAGACCAATTCAGAATGGATACGTGTCTTATTTGGTCAGTACCCCGAAGTCTAAAAGCGGCGAATCTCCCCGAACACTCAAGTAACCAACTGAAACAGAAGAGGAAAGACTTCTATACCTAGAAGGATGGAGTCGTCTAGATAAATCTACGACACTCGATGATTTGGTACTGTCAGGGGCTCAGATCAACAGCAGTCAAACGACAAGCTGATTTATTCATATAATAAAAGGAATCATTTTCTAGTAAACGATATTCGAAAGTTTAGGGTTTCTATAGAACGCTAGTTTTATACAGAATACGGAATTTTTGTCTCCCTGTGCAACTGTATGTAAAGTAGGAATTCAGCAGATTGATTATAGGTGGATTGCATAATTTGATCCTGAGTGGTACTCTATGTGAATAGGACTGAACTGTAAACTATCGCATTTATGTTATTTCTTTTTCTTTGGCTTTACCACTCTAGCCTGCCACGGTGAGTAGATTGTCGTTATCGGAGTCTAGAAGCGTGCCCGCATCTCTCAATAGAGAGTCTCAACCACGCCGACTCCAATAGTGTCACACGCATCTCACCATCTATGTACAGGATCGTATGGATATATCCATCTACTGACCGTATGAGTAGGTGACGCAGACGATTTCATATTGACATCAATCCTTGCCGCTCGCACGTTTGAACATTTCCCGTGTCGCATTCAGGCCAGTCCTGCAATAATGACTCTCCCAGTAGTTCGCACCATCTCCCATACATCCGGAATCGTATCCCCGTTCGAAAAAAAAAAAACGCTACAATGTCGATGACTACGGCGTATACTCTTTTGTTTTGTTAAAAGTACTTTTGAATTCACTTGTTACTTTTAAATAGTAAGCAAGGAGATGGGCGTGATAGGTAACAGACTGGGACAGACAAGTTGTTGCTGCATCAGGGGCACACGGCCCAAGAGGAAGGTGGGAAGTTCCCTACGTGCCTGTGGAGCGAAGCACGAGTACTATATCATAACAACAATAACAGCCGAGCCAACATAGGTGGAGAGGGATGCGTGACTGAGCATCGCAGTATCTAGAGTAAAAGAGTCCAGCTGATTCGAACATGTGCCAGAATGCACAGCAGATGTCGGGCACAGCTGTTGCCCGTACTTGTATGAACAGTAAGTTCCTGTAGTCTAAGTCGCAGTTGACTTGGCGTAGCTAAAGATTTCTGAGACCTCAAATGTTGACGACTGCGACTGGTTAAATATGTCCGTTTGAAGAATCGTCAATTGCAAATCGCCGATTGCAGCGAGATGGAATTACGTAAGCACGGGTTAGCACTGGCACATACGGTCAACGTAGCCCGACGGCATAGCAACAAAAGAGTGCTGACAACAAATATAGTAGCCATCAGAGTTCAGTCGTGGGATGAGATGATGGCGCCCCTGCGATAAACGATAAGAGACAAGATCAAACGTCTCCGCTCGTTGCCATGTCCAAGAACGGACAAGTCTCAGAGGTGACTCCAAGAGTAGTGCATCGGTGTTCATATCGTAGCTTCTTTCCTTGGCGTCGACAAAAGTAGTAAATAGCTCGATAACCCTGACGGCCTCAAGGACGAGCCGCGACGGCGAAGGCGGTGAGAGACTTGGAGACAAGGTAGTGCAAATCGCTGGCATCGGGTGTATGAGACCTCAATTCTTCCAACAGAACGACGGGTGTGCCTAGTATGCGGCGGCTATGTTAGTGATGCGAGTAATGCTTCCTCGTCAATGTCATCACGTCGACAGGGAAAATGCGATCCTTGATGGTCATAGTTGTAATATTAGTCTTTGCTTAGGTCGAGGAAACCCTGCTTTTTCCAACACCTCCGTCAATAACAACCGCCATGGATCTCGCCATAACTTAGTTTCACCCTCCTTCGTATTTCTAATCCGCGATTTCTCCATAGCTCGCCCATCTTTCTCCTCTGTCTCTATTGGCCTGAACTTCCCCGTTTAGGTGACTACCTGCTCAGCGCTTCATTTCATTCTGACTGCTGTTGTTCAAAATCCCAAGTGTGATCCTGGTCGGGTCGAGGAGTGCAAGTCCGTTCTCGTGATCCTTCATCTCTCCAACGATGAACAGCTTATCTTCGTGCAGGACTAGTGAGTGTTATGTTCGGCATTTCGATGCGAGACCTGTTACTAAAGGATGTGTCTAGTGCGCGGTCTCGAGAATAAAATAATCCAGTTGCGGAGATAGGTCCTGTGTTCGTTCGAACTTCGCCGTCAAAGAGAATAATCTTGTCACCGCGGTATAGAGTAGTAGTGTGGACTAGACTTTGTTAAATAATGACGATGGAAAAACCTGCGGGGCGCCATGATTATAGACAACTTATCCAACTTTACGTCCACCTCCTCCTTCTCCCATCTCCTGGCTTCATATAGTTCAATATACGATTATTGAGCTTCTTTCCAGCCGAAAAGCCTTGCCTTGCCGACGTGTAAACCAATACCGTCCTTACGCCGGGATATCGCCGTAGTGTTAACCAAACTACAATGCTGGTTGACCACATCTAGGTTGAAGATACGATTGTAGACTTCGTCGGTGTACTGGTCGAATCCTCCAAAGGCATAGATGTGATTGTTGCCGCAGTGCCCAAATGTCAGATCCCTGACAAGGGTTCCTCTGGTAGGCCCCTATTAGTCATCTGAGGGATATAAAACCCTCCTCTTAGAACCACTTTAGGCGCCCAGCCAGATTCGAATGCTGCCTACAACTCATATCTATCTCGAGATCTCTTCGTAAAGTGACTCTCTGCTGACTTCTTCACTTCTGAACCAAACAAGCCTGACACCGAAAGTCATGTAAAACCATGTTCATTTTTATGTTCAGACTCTTTTAATTTGAAATGGGGGCTTTCCTGCAGAATAGTCCTCGAGTTAGCGGAATAATTAAAGGAGAAAAGCCAAGATTGGGCCAGGCTTACTTACAAGTTACGTATAAGCTAAGTTGGCAAGTCATCGTGGGGGGCAACGTTTAATGACGGCCGGGTCGCAATATTGCGGACCCTTGAGCACGGGAATCCGCACCTTGTTCCTCATGCTGGTTATTCGTCACTGGTGCGGCAGTGTTTGAGGGTGGGTGAAAACGTCCTTATTCCCGCGACGACGGCGACGTTTCCAACCGGTGGGGTCGAGGGGAACCAATGTCGGGCAAGCTGTAGAGTGATTGCTGGATGGGAAGTAGATGGCTCTTGTAGATCAAAATGTTGATTCTGGCTGGAGCTTTGGTCCTCGTTCTCATTGAACACTGCGCCTGAGTGTATGTGCTTGCATTCACTGCAGATTTGCGCATATATTTCTTCATGGTTTGAAAGGTTGAAGATGACGGCGGATTGGCGAGAATGCTGCCGTATGACATTGAGTAGTCTATTTCAACGTTTGTGGACGTGATGTGGCAATCTGTAGAAAGAGACAAGATTGGCATGTAGGACTGTCCAAGGGAAAAGGTTCCTAGGCCATCAATACCATAGGTGAAAATAAATTGACCGCCGAGGCGAGAAGAACATGAGGATAGGAGGCGTGTCTATTCGCCTGCCGAACAGCTCGGCGAGATGAGCGGGATGAAGCCGAGGGATACAGAGGGATGGAGGGATTGCCACGCCAAGGTGAATCCAGCGGACGAAAATGGTGACCTTGTGAGATCTGTACTTGTGTCGCACATAAAGCAGATTGAGGTAAACGGGATCGCAGACTCCAACTTTCGTTTCCAGATTTTGTTGATTCCTTGATAACTTGACATGTAACGAGACATTGACTGTTTTTCCACATCCCTGAAGGAGGAGAAAGTCACGAGTCCTCCGTGACATACTCGGAAGCAAGTGATTGATGCCAGATCAGTTGGTGGAGGAGGTTGTCAATTATGATCCTTCCGTAGCGAGCTCAAGTAGAATGGATTGAGGTATGAGTATGAGATTACCCCTTCCTGTAACAGTAACTAGCACCTAGTTTGATGACTGAGAAAATGTCGCAATGATCCTTCCTGCAGTATGTGGTGTTCTATCTGAGCGGAAGGAGGTCGGATTAGGCGCTTTGGAATGCCCGAACCTTCCATGCTCTCTCATCGGGCTGCGGCCAGTGTTCCTACAGCCGAAGACTTGGTGGAGTGAGTCTTGTGGGCATTCCCGCGGCGAGCTCGACTTCTGGCGGAACCTTGAAGAAAATATGGTGGGCAGGTAGCATAAGGTACATCCATCTCTAGCCTCAAGGCCTGGTTCGCCTAGGTGCCTTATATACTTCCCTCCCTTCCTCCACATACATACACATCACCAAAGGTACCTACCGTGACACAAATTGCTCCTTCCACCGTTTAATTAATCGCGACCGCTGTGATTAATCGGCCGAGTCACAAAGTCGACTTCCCCTTCTGCCTTACTGACGACATGCGTCGTCCTTCTACATTGCCGTTCTTGATGGCACACCATCCTTCTACGCGTCTCTCGACGACGTACCCTCCTTCCGCCAACTCATCGATCAGCCCAGAGCTCAGCGCGACTTCCAACTGTCAAATTACGATTGTCACGGTCTTCTCTCGAATCCTTGTTCCTTCTGCAGCACCCCCGAGGATGGACCCTCCATCCGTCAGTCGGTCACATCTTGGGGCGATCCAGACGCCAGTTTTTTAGCTAATCAGACGGCGGCGTTCTCACTAACCCTAAAAATTCACCCGTCCAAGACCCAGGTCACCCTCTCCGGCAAACGATTAGCTCATGGCTTCCGAATCCCCATATCGTCTTCCTATCGCCAATTTTACGCTAAGCTACCTACACGGCGGTATACTCATGATCCCCTCACTTCCTTCCATCAACAAGCACCAAAACCACTATGCACATAGCCTCATGAGAACTCTGCCCAAGCACATGCATTGGATGGATTGGGTTGAGGGGCGCCCGGGCGGTTGAGCGGAGGACTTGTCCCGGATGCATTAGTCGATGAGATGCCAGGGATTCAACGACAGCCGAGCATCACCCGGTGTGTCGTTGTTCTGGTAGACTCTACGGTTTTGGCCTCTTCGGCCAACCATAGTGCTTTCTACGAAACACTTGGCAAGGCATCGACAAATGGATCTGCGGTCCTATTAATCTCGATCTACTTTGGCGTCCGACGCACATACAAATCTCACAAGGCCACTATGGCGCAGGCTCCGGTGCTTGTCGAACTTGTGTTGTCGAGACTGGCGACGCAAAAGGAGCTCGGCGAGGAAAATAAAAATGACGTACTACGGTGATTAGTGCACTCGTCCGACGAGCGCGATCGCATCTGGATCAAGGTGAAGGCGGCCGTGGAGCAGAACAGCAACGTTCGAACCACCTCGGTCAAAGAGAAGGCAGGTGCTACGAGGCTAACCGTACCTGTAGTCTCAGGAGTACCTTAGGTAGATGGACCGATTGCCGGAGACACTGGCGCAGGGTGGGGGTGGCGTCAGGGAACCGGAGGGGCAGTGTGGCTGGGGACCCGCCATCCGCTCAGTATGGGCTCGTGTGGCGTGTGGCCCCCAAGGTTGTGGCTCAAGCTGCTGGGAGCGTCTCCCACTTCCTCCTCCACACATAGACTCAACACCCCCATCAGACCGCAAGATACCCAGATTGCCTGCCTCTTTGACAAATTCACGCCCAACACACTCAATTGAATGCCCCAAGCTTTCTTCCACAGGTGTAAGCCACTGCTAATCGATGCTTCAACCATGTCCAATTCGCTAAACTGGACTTGGCGCGACAATGTTCGCGCCATATCGTTCACAACTCCTCGACCGCCACTACGCACTCCCAGCAGAGCGCTCAAGCTCCTTTGACCGAGTTGGATGCAATGAATGGTGAGTTGCTCCGCGGCTTTGGCCAAATACCCCTTCTGCGTAAGCACCACTTCTCACATCAGCGAGAAGTTCAAGATCTCGAGGCAGCGTCAGGCTAGCAGTCGGTTGCGATCGATAATATCTTATTCAGCCCAACCACGCCAAGCACACTGCCCTTTTGGGACCGAGAAGTGTGCTTCGTGGCCGATGCTTGATTGGATGTGCGGGGTGATGGAGCTGCTGGTTGAGCGCCTCTTTTGGTTCATGTGGGGCCCCGAGGATGAAAGAGTCGATGAAGTATAAGGAAGGTTATGGGCAGTTGGGCTACGCGAAGGATACGAGTGTCATCTGCTCCTGGGATGCGAACTTTGGGCACATGGCGCGTATCTTCCAGCTTGGCAAGTCCACCATGATGGTGCGGTTTACGTTGATTGGCATAGGACGTGGGCAACCCCAATGTGTTGCAGGCACAAATTTCACCCCGTGGTCAACAACACCCATCCGCAAGTGCATCATTTCTATAATGGTCTCTTGTAAGTTGTTGGAAATCTGTTGGAGTCGAATGCCATATCCCTTTCTATGCGCGCTCCAAACGGCCATACATGGCATCAAAAGGACGTGGTGCTTTCAGAAGATGTGGCGCGGCCCAGTTCTAACTTCTGGCAGATGGACGTGACAATTGAGAGCTCTTTACGTCACGACACGCCAACGTACCTACTTAGATGCTGACTTCTCTCCCGCTAAGAGATAAGCGATAAGGAAAAGTGGGGAGTGAATGTTCGATCGCAGGACTCAGTTCCCATTTTTCTAGCGGTGCGCTGGGGTTGTCCCACCGTTCGATAGAACTAACGCTTACTCTTTATTTTCTATTCTCACTGCACCCTAATGTTACAACCCAACATACATAACAAGACCATAGGTTCCCCCGCAGGTCTATGGCGGCTACCACGCTAAATATATAATGAAATATTCAATTTTCTAAACTTTTGGCTTTTAATATACATAAATTATATATAATAAAAAAGAAATCTCAATTGAGTTTATTCTTCCTTATGTAATTAACGTTATTTTATGTTTTATATTTTTTATTTACTTTTATTGAGCATTTTAAAGAGACAGTATTATAATTTATTAGACGTAGTATATCTAGATTTTTGATTTTAAGTATGGTTTTATTTCAAGGTAATGAATTCGCTTGATAGCTTTCTTCATACTTCAATCGCCCCTTCTTTTCTATCCTCTTGTAAAGAATACATGCTTTCGCTTGTGTCCTCCTTTACGGTAGTAAAGAAAGGTATTAGATAGTTAATCAGGGCCCGCAGTGCCGCCAAGCTGCCGCACACAACGGCCACGTTCATCTCTACGCCACTCCAGCTCACGACATCTGCATTATCCCCTAGCATTAAGAATGTTAGTAACGATCGAATGTCGCAACATTCCTCCCTTGGGTGGTGACTGACATGTTGGGTCGAAGCTATTAGCAAAGGAGACTAAGGACTTAAGTCGAACGACGCTCGCAATACAGCCGCTAAATGCCTCGTCAGTATTTTCAATCAAGACAGAGGAGGCTATGCTTCTTACAATGAGCCGAGGCAGAACATAAAGATCAAGCCGAGCTTCTTTTTGAGTCCTAGCTGCAGGTGCAGAAGCTCGGGGATCGGCATAATGAGAAGTACCACATCCTCGGCGATACCAGAGATAGCACCCGCGTACCCGATGGCCTTGAGGTTGAGACAGTGTCCCTTGGCCGATTTATCCCAGATTGCGGTAAGCGGAACGCATTGGAACGCGAGCAGGAAAAAAAAGATGAGCCCGCGGACTATGAGCACCGCAATTGCGACCTTCGCAGCTATTTGTGATCGCTTCCCTGGGAAGACTCGGTGGTAGAAACAACAGATTGTGATCTTTGCGGTGACACTATTAACGTTTAGCTTACAAGTTTCCACAACTGGGCTTTCGTGCGAGACTCACGTTACGAGAACGTAGATGATTTGCATCGCGTAGAACAACTAGGTATGCACACTAATTAGATACTTGAACGCGAAGACACAGCCATGAAAAGGTCGACTTGCCTGTAGAATGGGCTTGGCATTACTAGGGTCAATGACCCAGTAATGCTTCCCAAATCCTAGGGAGCAGACTGCAGAATCAAGTCAGCATATGTATCCCCTATCATGGCGAAACCGTATGTGTCTTACTCGCTACGCCACATGCCGATATAACAATGAGCAAGCCCTTTGATTATTAGTTCCCAAGGCAGAGTCAAGAGGCGGGATGAGAATAGTCACGGGCATACCAAAGCGAGCATTGTAACGTAGTCATCCCACCATAGCTTATGAGCAACGGTCCAGCGGGCGAAAAGTCTTAGAAACACGATGAGTGTCGAGATAGCTGGCAGCGTGATGGCGAATATAGCGTAACTTCCCTTCCGTTGCTGATTCGGGTATTCGTGGCACAGAATTTGTGATTTTCGTGTAGCATCTAGATAGGAAAAGCTTTAGTATAAGGCTCAAAAGTGCTAAGCATAAGCGATATGCACTCACCAACCTGATCAGCAAAGTCACAGGACAGTTGTACGCATGTTGAAACTCTTAGTTGAATGTCATCGTTCGTGCAGGCGCATTTCGCAAGTCCGTTGAGCTGACAGCTTCCAGATGAGAGAACCTCGGAGAAGCATGGCATCTAAGATGATTTGGTTAAGTAAAAGTTCTTATAGGACTTGGTTTGTACCGGTTTTGAGAAGTCAACGACAAGGAACAGTGACTTAGCCAAGGGGATCATCACGTACCGAGCATTTTGGCGTTGTAGCAAGCCATTGGGCAACTGCCGTCGTATTTGTGTCGAAGATTGACTCCGCCCCTTCTACCACCACACAAGCTGCTAAGATGGCTATCCTCAGGAGATTGGACTTCATCAGGGCGATTACTTTGTACTAGTCGGGTTGTTTGGGGATGATGAACTCGAAAATCCCTGCCAACGCAAACCCTGTCGATAGTGGTGAGAGACCTCGCGAGAAATGTAAAAGAGAGAAAAACGGGACCTTGATACCCTTGTATCACGGGACTGACAAGCTCAAGTATGAGATCTGATTTCCCCAACAGCGGGGTGGTTTCCGCGGCGCGGGTCCAATGACCCGCAGTGTTACTCTGATCAAGAGACTGATGCCGCCGTAGGTGCCGCTCACCATGCCGGAACAGTTTAGGAGCGGGATTTGACAGTGATTTGAGTATGGACGCCGACGGGCGATGGCGCTAGTCGCAAGGTCTAAGACAAGACTGACGCGCCTGCTCCAGGCTGCTAGCAGCGTCGGCCGGCGCTACATTCATAGCCCTAAGCCAGAAAGCGATGGCTGTCTCACGATGCTAGAACTGATTCAAGGACGCTAGAACAATTCTGCACGCGGAGCCCGACGCTAATAGGTTTAGTTGCCACTATAGGAGATTAGCGGAATGGGCTGTCTTTCGGCAATGGTAACAGGGTTTTCTAAACACGCTTGTTTCACTCATAATTCGGGGTGTCCATGTGGGCAAATTCTCTCATCTTCATTTAAACCTTGGTAATCCACAGCTTCTAGGCCAAATTGAGACCATAGTGTAAGCCACGCGGACATGAGCACCAGTCTTAGCTTCTAATAGTTGTGAAATATGAGGCACGGTCACCGCATTTGTCTAGGCCGAAGACAATATGACCGTGCACACTGCTGGAACTCTATGTCAGTTCACCCTGCTGAAACTCTATGTCAGTTCACACTACCATACTCGGTTAACACAAAGAACGGAACCTGCAGAGTGCTCCATCATCTCATCGTTATAAGGAAGGGAGAGCGGCGGGGAAGCTTGAAAATTGACTGAGGCAGGTCCTGGTTGTTGAAGTCTGTTTCAGGCCAGTGAGGGGCAAAATGATTCGGGGAGACACTTTTTTTCTATTGGTAATCAGTTCTCTTCAATAATAGGGTTATTTTTTGACATCGTTCTCACAGCCTCTATTGAAATGCAGAAATGTTTCTAAACGCGGAAGGCCACTGCCCTTGGAGTCAGCTTAACACAACACCCTCAGAGCTGAGCAACATGCGTAAGTGGTTCTGGGCTTTTGGAAGCGGTGCCTCAATGTGCATTGGAAGGAACTCTACACTCCTCTGTATGTTTTGACTCGAGAAGTCCCTCTTAACGGGCGCCAGATGGAGTTGATGAGAAGTTGTCTTTGAAGCTATGAAATCCACCACAGCTGGCACTTACTCGAGTTTCAGCACATTTCTTTGTGAGCATGGTCATATGGAATTTGGTTTTCGATGCTTGGCTGGACTAATAGGCGGGAAGTTGCTGCCGAACCATCTACACTCTCAGGATGCTTAGAAAAGTTTCAATAATATAACACAACCTGGCTGGGATGTTCCGAAGCTGAAACCTTCCACATGCCTCGCGCATGAAAAGGTATCGTTAGTGCTGCACATGAGTCCTGCCACATCGGTATTAAGCTTTTATCCAGCTTCATCACCCTTTCTTGTTCCCTTTCCTCCATCAGTTCTCCCATGCTGGTCAACGCGAATGGAATCGATTTGAACGCGTTAATTTTGTGTGGCATCCACTATAATGATAAAGGTGGAAAACACAGAGAACACGTGGGAGGCGCAAATGCTCAACACTTTCACACTTATTGCCAAAGACTACAGCCGCCTAGCCGAACGTGTTGAGATTTCAGCGGGGCGAATGATTAAAAGCAAGATCTGGTGAGGATATCCCATCGAGGGCAAGTTAAAGTCGATACACAGATACGCACTTTTCTGAGGGATAGTAGCAAATCAGATAGTAATCTGACCTTATTCTCCTTGCTTCTATAAATTATAAATTCCAAAATGGCATCTAGTTGTCGATAATCTGGTGAGATCTGCACTGATGTTAACTCGCACTCAATGAGATAATATCATTGGAGTCGTGTCTTATGGAGCGGCCAATACTGTGCAGGCCGGTAGAGAAAATGACAGCGCATCAACGCAAGACCCAGTATCACTCGGAGATACCGCTCTGACATTAATTGGGCCCCACAGCTGGATTAAGATCATTTGAGGAGTAAGAAAGGTTTGTCATCTTTTTCTGGAAACAGGTCTACCAGCTTGGACGTTGATTCTAAAAAGTTGTAGCTAGAACATGCCTTCTGGGGATAGCCCTGGAAGCAATAGCCTGATGCGCTGGTGATAATGATGGCGATGACGATGAACAAGACGCCTATTAAGTAGAAATTGACTAACGGATTCTTTCGTTCTTTACCCTCTGCATTTTCGGGCACACTCTTACATCCTTTCGCTATAGGCGGCGACAAACGCAGAATAGCAATTCAACAAAGCTTCATTAAGACCACCGTACTTTTTGTAGCGATAAGTTCTCCTTCTAGTACCCCTTACCCACTCAGACGTCTAGCCCTGTTGCTAAAATTACTCTTCCCTCGCGGCTTAACCTCGGAGAGCCGTATTCTTTAGTCAACAAAACTTAAGCCTATGGAAGTGCACATCCACGGCGTATCATCGGTTCATCTCCCGGGGAGCTTCTTCCTTCCTTCAAACGCCTCTCACAGTACCGCAATACAGCACTGTTGCCCCCTTCACATTCACCATCGTCAGCATCAAAGGCAATCGGCTGCAGCACTTGAAGTTGCCTGTCGCCATAGAATGATTGAGTCAGCAGCACCTAAGTCTCCCAGCGCACTGATACAAGAGATGGGCTATTCATCGCGTGATTCCGGCCCGTCGCTTCTAAACATATTGACCCCCATGATTATGTGTCATAGAGAGGTAATGGACATGTTGAAGAATTTTATGTGTGATTGTCACATGATCATGCTTGATCTCCTGCCCATGCCATCATGGCAGACATACGAAGTGGCCAAAAGACAAGATGCGGCTTTCCAGCCGGCGCAGCGCTAACAAAGAGCCACAAAGATGAACAAGTTTTGAACACTGACTTGACGAACCCACAGCATGTTCCAACCCGGGGCTCCGAAATCAACATCGATTTCACTTAAGCTTTGGCAGCTACTGCCAAGAATGTTCTCAACGAGCCTCGGGACATCTACCTTTTGTATAATCGAAAACGCAGCTCCACTCATGCTGAGTGTCAGACCTGGCTCTATTCATAGACGCCTATAGTCTCGCATTTCACGAACGCGGCTCACAAAACTTTTCCATTTTCTATCGTTTACCTTATTTCATCATTGCAACAACTCATTCACTTTTCTCCTCATTAATGTCATCATATATTATTCTCATTTAATCGTCAACTTCATCTCAACACCTCTTCCCTCTTACAAAAGGCAATCAGCATCACAGCAAGTCCGCACATCTCACAGCATCTTTTCTACTATCATAATCACCAGCCTTGTCTAATTTTGGAAATGCTAAATCTCTTCTTAGCAAGTCTACTTCCATAGCCTTCATGCCACCACTCCCACTTTTACCGCCGTCTGTGGCTTACGCTTATCCTACAGTCTAAGTCCTACGGTATTAGCGAGTTATTTACTCATAGCCTATCCGTAACATCTTTACGCTGGCGCTAACTCGAGGTCGAGTAAGGCTTCTAATCCGATATATATATACATTTATTTAAATATAATAATATCATTAAAAAGTCGAGTTTTTAAAAATAAATTTTTTTAATATTATATAAAAATTCTAAATTTTTAACTGTTTAAAATATTATATTAACTTATTTTAAAATCTTATATAAATTATTTTCAAACTAATATCTAAATATATTTTATATTTATTTTAAAATATAATAAAGAATTAAGATATAAAGTTTTAAATAATATTAAAAGCATTAAACATATTCATTTATTTTTTAAATATATAATAAATTATTAGTTAAAAAATAATAATTATATTAATCAGTTTTAAAATTATAATAAATATTTTTAAAAAAGAAAAATTTATTTAAAAATCAAATCTTTAAATAAAATTTCTTTTATTATTTTAATGATAATTTATATGACTAAGTAATAAATATAATTATAGATAATAATTAATAAACTATATATAAGGCTTTTTCATTTGAATTTAATAGTTAGATTTATTTTTAATATAATCAATTCTCTTATTATTCCTTTATTTAATTTTTATTTACTTTTTAATCTTTTGCTTATTGTAAAACTTCTCAATATTAATTAAAAGGTTCCTTAAGTTTAAAATAGCTAAGAAAGCCCAGGCTTAAACGTTACAAAAGTTAAGTAAGGAAGCTAGTTATATATTAATTAAAGTATAGTTAAAGGTTTTTTATTTTACTAAATAAATATAATTTTGTCTTAATAATAATAATAATATTAATATCGTATAGCCTTTTTTTAAGAGTAAAGTGCGCTTTTGAAACTAAAAAATAGGATAATAATAAACTCAATTTTTTATAGTAAACTATTTTAAGTCTCTTAAACTTTAGGTACTAAGCGTTAGTAAGCTAATTTCTTTACTCTAGTTATAACTCTAAAATCAATCCTTTATAGAGACACAACCGTTACACGTGACATAGATATAAATGCATACACTAATATACACTATTCTGAATGACATACTTTAACACCCTGCCGCTTACCCGCCTGTCACAAGGGAGGCCAAAGCTTGGCGCTGGGTAAGTTTGACGGGCGCCGGGTAAGCTTAGCGCTGGGCAGGGTTGGCGCTGGGTGGGCGGACTCTTACTGTACGACTTGGAAATTTGACCGGGCGAAGATTGACAACATTATTGAGTGACTCGAGCGCAGACTTGCACCGGTTCTAAAAGCGCAGAGAAGCTATCCAGGGTATTCAAGACGTCGATCATTGATATAAGTTACTTGTGTATCTAAAATTCGTACGACTAGTCGCGCTTGATCGAAGTTCAATGGTTGTTGTGAAGGATGGTGCGATCGGCAGCCAGGGGCCGGAGACTTGAAATCGAGCACACTGTAAAATATTCGTGTAGGCTGGTCTGTAGAGCATCACGAGCTAACAATTAAACTTTTTAGATCAGCAGTAAAAATATATGATTCTTCCCACGCACACCTCTGCAACTACTGTGCTTGGCTAGTTAAACTTGCGAACTACGTTCCTAGATCAATAATCTAGTCTACTTGTTAAGCAAATCTTATACTAGCAAGATGGCGCTGTTCGGGGCTGATTCTGTCGCCGCAAAGTTCTCAGCAGTCCCGGTCAGTACTCCTCAACGAATGCCCCCTGCCCTTCACATAGCCCTGAAGTACAATTCAGAGGAATTGTACATCCGATCTCTTAAACAGATACTTTTCATGTGCGCTGATTGTGCAGCACCTCGAGCACTCCCTTAAGCTGCCATAAACAAAAATGCTAACTGCCAAAAGATGAAAATGTGGCCCTTCATCCTCATCGCTGTCGCAGCGTTCGCGGCAGTACGAGTTTTTCAATCTGTGTCAAAGCAAGATCCCATTTCCAAGATCCCACTTGTTGGCGACGACATCAAGGATGAGAGCGCGAGGCGCGTGATGTTTGCAAAGGGAGCAAAACATGTATACCAGGCAGGTTACCGGAAATTCAAGAATAGATTGTTCAGAGTCTCTTCGCCCCGAGGTATGAATGCAGAATCTTCATGGCATCATGCCAGGCTAAGGGGTTGATGCTGAAAACCAAACAGAATCCACGGTCATAGTTGTCTCGCCGCACTTCCTGAAGGAATTAAGCGCTCTTCCTGACGACCATATAAGCTTCCACGGGGCTTTGAAAGAAGTGAGTACTTTGGTGCGGAGTCCTTACGTGGAAAGCCAAAGCTGACGGCGAGGGAGAAAATGCAATCGCGGTTTACTCATATAACTGTGGATATTCCTGTTGTCCCTAGCATTGTGAGAAACGAGCTAACCCCAGCGTTGAGTAAGAATACCCCGTGCTTAAGTAGAGATCTAGTGTATCGGTGCTGACAGTTTCATAGACCGTCTGAATCCCATCATCGCCGAAGAAGTGGTCATGGCTTTTCAAGATGAACTCCCTCCCTGCAAGGACTTCACTAGGGTCCCAATCAACCGTGCCGTCTGGAGGATTGTTGCCAAGGTCTCGGGACGCTTTTTCGCCGGCGCCGAGTTCGCGCGTTCCGAAGAATACACGGATATGAGCATCAACTATACGCTGGAAATCGCGGGCGCTGTGAAAGGTATCGCTGCGATCAAGCCAGAGGAGAGGGAGGCCAAGGCCCCAAGTCTCCCCCAGCTCCTACAGCTTCAGAATCGCCGGAAGCGGACCCTCGAGTCTATTCGCCCGCTGATCGCTGCTCGCAAGAAGGCATTGGCTGAAGATATAGATTACCAGCCGCCCGACGACATGATCCAGTGGATCCTCAACGGCGAGAACAAGTACGGCAAGCTCTCTGTGGAGGAGATCGCGGAAATCCAGCTTTTTCTCATTTTCGCCGCCATCCACACTACCACCATGACAACGATCAACGCCTTTTATACGCTAGCTGCGATGCCCGAGATAGTCCCCGAGATTCGCGATGAGATCCGCGCCGTGCTAATGGAGCATGGCGAATTTTCCACCCCCGCGCTGCAAAAGATGGAAAAGCTCGATAGTTTTCTGCGCGAGGTCATGCGCGAATACCCGCTGTCGTTGTCTACATTCCAGCGCAAAGTCTACAAGCCAATTACGCTATCGAACGGCCAATTCATCCCGGCCGGCGTCATCATCGAGATACCAGCGCACAGCATAGTCCACGACCCTGAGCGCTTCGACAGGCCCGACGAGTTCGACGCGTTCCGCCACTACCGGGCGCGGCGCAATGCCAGCGTCGCGAGCTCGGACGGCGAGAAGAAGGCGCCAGGCGCTGGTGCTGCCGCTCACCAGATGGTTTCGCCCAGCCTCAACAATTTGCCATTTGGCTACGGGCGGCAGGCGTGTCCCGGGCGATTCTTTGCCGCGAATGAGATCAAGATGATTGTGGCACGGGCGATTCTGGATTACGAGATTCAGTTGGCAGACGGTGCTACGGAGAGGTACCCAAATATCGAATACTACGAGGCTGTAAGTATTCTCGCCTTGCCCCGGTGGTCTCTAGTCTTTCTGTCGTATACGACTGCGGTATACTGTGGTGCAACATGTTCATGTGAGTTGACAAGTCGCGGCTGACTATCGCCCTCTTTACAGAATATCCCCGACCCGTCCAAGGAGCTGATGTTTAGGCGGGCCCCGATCTAAAGTTCGATGCTCTGGCTTGCCAATGTTTTCCGCTTTACGACTATTTCAGCATTGCAAGGGATGAAGGTAGTGGAACTGTGATGGGACGAACGAATACGCAGTGTACCCAGTTGATTTTGTGGGTTGTCACGTATTATATACAATAGGTTAACATCAATATAACCGTTTTTGCTTCCAGTTCGCGGATAGACTAGCAAGGCAAAGTAATGGCAGCGTGATCCAGACCCTACTAGCTGAATACGGAGACAGTTACTCAATATATCTGTATCTACACGGAATCACAGATGTATCACCACTCTATGTCGATGTGGTGGAACTTGATATCACCATTGAACCACTGAACAACTTCTATCCGCTCTTCACTCGTCCGAGCTCCCTCCAACAGTTCACTATCAACGACCGCTGCCACCGTCTTCAATAGCTGTTGCATGGCTAGGTTCTTGCCCAGACAGGCACGCAGGCCCGCCCCGAAAGCAATCAAGCTTTTTTCCATGTGCGAACGGTACAGACCGCAGCTCCTGTCGTCGTCGATCCACCGCTCCGGCCGGAAGGCAAAGGGGTCTGGGAATATGGCAGGGTCGTGGTGGAGAACATAGGCCGCGCAGCCGACAACGGCACCGGCAGGGACCGAGATGCCGTCAACCGTCAGGTTCGCGCCGGGCGGCACCACCCGCGTCAGTCTCGTAGGGTTCGCCATACCCAAGCGCAGCCCTTCCTTGACGCACGCGCGCAAGAAGGGGATGTCGGGCCTCCCGTTGTCGCCTGCCGTGGGCGGCGCGGCGCGGATGTCGTGCAGGAGGCGGGCGCGGGCCTCTCTGTTCTGTGTCAGGTGGAAGAGAGTGGTGGCCAGCATGACGGCGGTCGAGTCGCCGCCTGCAAAGAGGATGGCCTCGCATTGCACTCTGGTCTCTGAGAAAGATATGCCTGCCGCGAGGAGGCGATCCTGGTAGTGCTCTGTTGTCTTGCCGTGCTTCGTGCCCTTCATGACTTGACCCATGAACTCCTGAATCCTCCTAAATGACTTGTCCACTTTGTCACTGTGGCTTATCTTCTGGGAAACCGAGTACACAAGTTTGAAAAGAGTGTTTGGAAGTAACGAGAAGCGAGCAAATCCCACGATGGCGTGTATAAACTCGTTGGCGCTGAGTTTCGCATCTGGAGTCTGCTGTTCAGCTAGGCCCAGATGCGCTTGCTCAGTCAGCCCGCCAAATGGCTGACCTAGCACGTAGTCAGAGACCACATCGATTGAGAGCTTCGCACACAGATCCAGAATATCGGTTTTGATTTTTGCTTGCCGGAATGCGCTGAGCTGGCTCACAAAGTCCGCCACGTGTCGTCCGATGGAGCCTTGGGCGCTACTCTCTTCCCGCAGCCGTGCAGGCGAGAATATCGGGGCGACTGCCTTGGCTCTCACATCACGGTAGGCTTTGTCGATAGAGGAGAATATTGAAACTACCGGCCCGAGGTTGAAGTTTTGATATCGGGCGTCCTTAAGAAATCCACCGCCCGCCACGTAAATGTCCCGGACGGCATCGCTGTCGGCCACTGAAATGGCATTGGGGCCTACACGAAGGACCTTGGTCTTATACTTCTCATGGTATCGGCGTATTACGCTGCCCTCAATGCCAAGGTAGCAAATGGCATAAAGAAAGAGCGACGAAATGGCAGCAAGTGGCGGCCCTGGCACATGAGCGAGGGGGTGGAAGCGTAGTCGGTATATCACCCGAGCCGCCAACAAGAGAAAGAGGACGAATGCTGACTCAACCATGTTGAAAGAAATGATGAGAACGGCACATCTATAGGTGAGATATTGCTAGAGAATTGCCTACCTTTGACGAGAGTTTTTTTAGTCAACGGCATTAATGAGGCTTCGGCCGCCTGGAGCTTCGTATCACAAGAACATTCTTTCAAATTGATAAGGAGGGTTCAATCGTGAGTACACAGGGAAGGCCCATGCGAAACAGTTCTTGAGTACTAGTACATGTCTACTCGGTGTCAGATAAAGCTTACTCAGTGATCTGACTCCGTGCTGTGCACCAAATGCCGAGCGCTAGTTGCCTAGCGCCACTCATTTGATTTCGGAGACGGTAATGACAAGTTAGACTTTAGAGGGCAGCGACTGATCAATCAGATTAAAAGACACGGCAACGTTTAGCAATTTTATAATTCCGTACTTCGTGTCTAGGTCGCTTGCAGTCAGTATTCCCTCCACAATGACAAACCAAGTTGTCCAGACCCTGAACGGGATTAGCGCCGATTCTTTCGAAAACGATGGCCAGCGTATGGAGGCTGTGGCGGCAGCCTATGCTCTCGTGGCCCGCCTCGAAACGCCGTGGGACTTCGTGTTGAGGCTTGCTATGGGCCAAGTGAGCTGAATCTTCCTCCAACAAGACACTATTGATACCAAAATGCTAACAATTCCTAAAGCCAGCTCTCGGGGCCGCCCTGAAAATTGCGCTGGATGTACAGTTGTATCAAAAATGGCACGAGGCGGGCGATGGTCCAAAAACTCTTGAAGAGCTGCACGAGCTTGTCCCCCAGGTTGAGCCGAAACTCCTCCGTTCGTCAACCCGCCCAACTATATTTGAGCATTCTAAGATGTTTTGGAGTCTGAATTTGCGACATGAGGTGCCTATTTGTCTAACGAATCTGGTTTACAGTCCGTCTGCTTCGGCATCTAGCAGCATACCATGTCTTGGAGGAGCCGTCTTACAGCGTTTTCAAACCCACGGCGCTATCCATCTCTTTCAACAAGCCTGTATTCTCCGAGTGGATAAACCATCAGTATGTATTGGTTTGAATCTATGGTTGTTTTCCCCAGACCTCATTGACATGCGTCTCAGATACGATGCCACAATTCCGTGTTTCTTCAAGCTACCACGCTACCTAGCTCAGACGGGATATCAGAATCCGGTAGACCCTAGCGACGGAATCTTCCAGTACGCCAAAGACTGCAGGGGCAAGGACATGTTCCATTACTACCAGGAGAACCGTGTCGAGGGCGAATCCTTCAACCAGGTCATGGGCGGTGTCATGGCGAACCAGTCAGGATGGCTGGAAATATTCCCTCATGACACGTTAATCTCCAGCGCCAAGCCAAATGCACCACTTCTGGTCGACATCGGCGGGAATATAGGCCATGACTTGGATAGATTTTACCAAGCCCACCCGGAGACCGCCTCGCGTCTGTATTTGGAGGACCTTGCTGAGGTTGTCTCGCTCTCTAAGTGTCCGGCTCCGGTCAACAAAATCGGCTACGATTTCTTTACGCCACAGCCGATAAAGGGTAAGATCCATAACTTACACGCTCACTCCACGCTTTTTTTTCCTGACCATCTTCCCAGGCGCACGGGCTTACTACATGCACGGAGTCCTTCACGACTGGTCCGACGAGCCGGCACGGAAAATCCTGGAGATGCAGCGGGATGCCCTGACGCCCGGATATAGCACGTTGTTGATCCACGATCATATCGCCCCGGACACTGTCGCCCACCCGCACACTACCGCCTACGACCTGACCATGATGGTGATGGTGGCTGGGGAAGAGCGGGGTGAGGTGCATTGGCGTGAGCTCCTCAAATCAGCAGGGTACCGTATAGTCAAGATCTGGTCTTCGCCGCTTGCTGTGCAGAAGATTATCGAGGCGGAGCTGGACGCGTAATTATGGAAATCATTAAGAGAGTCATCATCGCCTGATAGAACATGGTTCCGAGTTTGTCTATTGTATGCCAGAAATGTGGATCTCCATGGGTCAACTGGGATTTATATCGTCCTCCGTAATTGTAAATACGTTACAGTGGACACATTGGACTTGCGAACCGTGTCCACAGCAGGAATCTCGGTCTAGCATGCAATACGTACTTGGCCGCTGACTATCTATGAGAGATGAAAAGAGAGTAATGAGGATTTGATCGATATCTCACTTATCTCACATGGCCATCTTGCTCTGCTGCTGGTTAGAGCCAAACTCCCGCGTACAAGTGTGGACAGTCTATCACTACAACGACAGCAGTGGCTTTTAGCTTTACAAGAGTCCTTCGGCCACTTCTAATCCCCAGGCTCACTTGAAGAGCTCAGGGTTCGCCTCGACCCACTCCCGGAACCCAGTGGCAGGCTTCCCCGTATACTTCTTCACATTCTCCACGCCCTCCTTGTAATGTGCCAGCCACGAACCATCCTCTAACTCGGGGTCTGTGTCCCCTAACGACCTAATCATATACTCCGCCATTGACTTGGGAGCACCCTTTGCGAGATACTGCGCCAGCGCCTCCTCCGCGGGAACGGCCGAGACCTTGATTTCCTTCCCCAACACCACGCCAATAATCTCCAACCCCTGCTTCTGCGACAGAATCTGCGGGCCATACACAAAAACCTTTTGCTGCCCATCCCGCGGCCGCCCCTCGGCCAGAATCGTCCCGATCACCCCGCCCATATCGCCGGGCGTAACGCAATCAATCTTGAACCCAGGCCCATACATCTTAACGTCCCCTGCGAGAATCCCTGCCTTTTGCCGCAACAAATTTGTAGCAAAACCCCCGGGACGCATAGCCACATACCCTCCCGGCCCGTAAACCTCATCCAGCGTGACCTCGACCCGTGCATGCGCGTACGGGATAAACTCGCTCGGCTGCACGTCCGCCGGCTGCAAGTGCCCGATGGTAGAGCTGCTCAGCAGCACGACAAGCTCGACACCGGAATTCTTGAGCGCCTCGGCGGTGCCCTTCATGAAGTCGGGTGTGCCCTGGGCGACGTAGATGAAGGCGCGCGTGGCGCCCGCGGTCTTGACGGCCGCGGCGACGGTGTCGGGCTTGCTGAGGTCGGCCTGGACGCGCGAGTAGTTGCCGGCTTTCTCGGCCGCGGCGGTGAGGCGTGGGATGGCTTTGGAGGGGTCGCGCATGGCGAGCCAGACTTTGGCGCCGTGTTGGTGGGCGGTTCTCGCGGCGGCGGAGCCAATGTTGCCTGTTGGGCCGAAGACGATTACGGTGGCCATTTTAGGGGGTGTAGACGGTGTCTATGGTGGTAAACTGTCAGAAAGTTGAATGTTTGCTGGAGAATATGTAGTTGCTCGAAAGGAGTTTGGCGCAGTCGTGATTGTTCATTTACATCTCGATGGATGAACTAGTCATGCTTGTCATGAAAACGTGTTGCAAGAAGCAAGGTTCCTAGGCCAGCAAGCGTCCACCCAACCACGTCATTCGCGTCTTTAAGCTCCACACCACGAATCATAAATGCATGTTTAACTCGGTGTTCGTGTTCTGTACAATCCCAAGTACCACTTATTTCTTTTCCAGGTTTTAAAATCCTAAAGTTGATATTAAATCGTTAACTACTTGAGTAGCTTCGAAATCCACAAGATTGTTTAAATGCTGAAGAAAACTGTCGCTGCTCAACACAGAATCATCAACATGCACTGAATTTCAGTTTTATTATTGACAAAACCCTTGAACTTAGCACTGAAAGCCCCATGTACCTGTATCAGTGCTTTTTAGCTACACACATGTGCTACGAACACCAGACAAGCAGGAAAGTTTTCTAGTTTGGCATTGCTAGGTTTCCAGATACTGCAGCGCGCATTTCCGGAGCTTCCTCTCCTTTTCTCTTGTAGGCGTTGTACCCTGAACCGTGCGCTCCAGGTACTGGAATTCCGAGGAGGACTTTCTGGCGGTCGGATAACTTTGCCTTGACCTCCTCGGTGAGAAGCCGTGGGTAATCTTCCATCTTCTGCACGAAATATCGGACAACAGTCAGAATCACGAGCGGTCGCGGCTCGTCTGTCTGGTTATCGCCCGTGGAGTGCCATGCGCGACTGTCTAGAAGCAGGACCGTCCCAGCGGGAGCGCAGGCAGGAATTGAGCCTCCCTAATTTGTAGTCAACATCTGAATCAGCAAAGGGTACCAAGACATCGTCGTCAAGGACAAGATCTGTTGACCAACACTTACAGCATCACTCATGTGTCCCAGGGGTGCCACGTTCTTCAAATGCGACCCGGGGTATATCAGAGTGGCACCCTTCTCAGGTGTCAAGTCGGTCAAATAAAATAGGGCGTTCAGCATGTACGAGAAATCGATTTGATCGGGTGGCATCGACGACTGGTCTCTGTGCATATGAATGCCACTTTCTCCTCGGAGAGAAATATTAGCTGACATATTGTAGATCTGGAAACCTTCGCCTAAGAACCATGGCGCAAAGGTTTCAAGCAAAGGATGATTGAGCATGTCGAGAAACTCATCGCCCTTGTTAGGAAGATTCCTAGGCAGAAACAAATTAGAAAACTGAACCAAGTTTCTAAGCAAAGCAGAAGTGTTCTCACCATATACGTTGATTGTCTCCTTGCATATGCGCGACTCCATTCTTCCGCTCACCAGCTCCTTGTTCTAGGACGGCACGCTTGAGGATCTCGACTTGCTCAGGTGAGATAGCATTGGCCAGGAATGCATAGCCCCATTTCTTGATATCCCGCTTGATCTGCTCGGGATCTTCTGTGGGCTTAGGCAAGCTGCCGTGGTCCAGTTCACTCCCCGGAGTCATGGGGCCTGGAAGACCCAGAGGAGCAAAACACGACGCAAAGGCACCAGGACACGGGGGTTCTGCATGCCTGGTGAACATGTTCTGTGTCAGCAGGCGACCTGTGATGGCGTCCAGCACAAAGGCCGGCGCAATATTTGCTACCACGTCAGGCTCGGCGTCCTTCGGCGACGTGTCAAGCAGCTTGACTTCGTTTTTGCGTGCATCGATATAGATGGGGGCGGCATGTTGCGACCCTCGACGAAGAGATAACAGTGCAAGCTGTTGTAGGCCAGAAAATCTCTGTGATTCACTGTTAGCCACGGGAGCTTGGACGAGAAATGGAACCTGGATGCCTGCCTGCAAGTTGTCCCGAACCCATTCGAGAACTTCGGCGCTGTCACGATTGAAAACCTCTATAGAGTCTTCGTCGGGCAGGTACACATGGGAACTGAAGTCAAGTCCCGGGGTCAACGGTTTGGACGGTGCTGGTAGGGTGGTCGGCATTGTAATGAACTGGTTATTAAGCTGCAACAAAGTCGATTGTAACGAAATATCTCAACTTGAAGAAAGTAAAAGGGAAATCACAGATGGGATCCCCAATAAGTTATATACATGATGAAAGGGCAAAAAAAGTGTGAGGGCGTAAGGAGCAGCTAGGGATCCCTTAACTCTAATGTTACGACCCATTATTAGAACATAGTAGGACTAGGGTACGCTCTATAGTATATTCACTACTTATAAGATATTTATATATAGGAATATAGGAATAATAAAGGCGTATCTGAGAATAAGAGAATTATAATATAAATTATATAACAATAAATAAGTATTTATTAAAAGCCATAATAAATACCTAGTAAATATTAAAATAAATATTTATTTTATTTAAAAGTTAATATTTATTATAATATAAGTATTAATATAAGTATTATTTATAGTAAACTTATATATAGTATAGTTCAAATTAAATTAAATTTAAATTTTAATAGTTTTTTAGTAATTAAATTTATAATGATTCATACATTAATTTTTAATATATTTAATTAAAAATAACCTATTAAGTTCATAATCAACTATTTTATTTTTAAAAAACTTAATTTATTATAATTTATAATTTATATTTTAAACTATAACCTTAATAATAATATTTATTTTAAACTTTTATTAATAAAGTTTATTATTATATATTTCTTAATAAGAGATAAAAAATAGAAAATAATTAGAAATGTAAGAATTAAAAATAATTTATTAATAAAATGTAAAAGATAATCTAAAGTTTTATTAACTTTATTAATTTCAAAGTTATTTAAGCTATAGCTATAGTAATAAAAACTAGTGTTATAAAAAGTTAATTAAGTATATAAAAATTAAATTTATTAAATTAATCTCTTATTAAACTAAATATACTAAATAAATTTGAAAATTAGTAATATTTATTATATATTTTTAATAAAGTAAAAAGAATATGTTTTTTAGTATTAAAAATTTTATATTATATATATATATATGTATTAAAAGAATAATTTAAAGAAAAGTATGTTAATTAAATAGTTATTAATAAACAGATTAAGACTTATATATAAATATATTTACAATAATATATATTAAATATATCTTAAAAACATTATTATTATTTTAGTAAAAATCTACTTGAGATAAATAATATTATTCTTAACTTCTTTATTATTATTATTATTATTTAATTAGTTTCAGGTCGAAATACTGTTTATTTTAATAGATCTTTCAAATTTAAACTATTCTAGGCTTAATTTCGCTTTTATTTATAATTAAAACTTAAACTTTTTAGCTTTTCAATTTAATAACTTTATAGTTTAACTATTTTATTTATAACTTATTTTAGCTAATTTTATAGTTATTAGTTAAAGCGTTAATTTTAGTAATATTCTATAATAATTAAATATGAAAATAAAAACTAAGCTTAAAATTTATATTTTCAAAATCTAACTATAATAAAAAGACTTTAATTACTGAATAATAATAATTCATTAAATTCTATTACTTTTTTCAAAAAGTGATTTATAAAATTCTAGCTTTTTTTAATTAGTTAGTTATCTATCATAAGTATTTCTTCTTAGTAAAGCTATACTATGCATCTAAGTATAACATTTTTTTTTACTGACATTACCCTGGACTGCCTTACTGTTGCCCTGTGCGACAGTTAGCGCACATTACCTGCTTCAACAATGGGAGCCGCAAAGGACGGATTGACAGGGGGTATCCATGCCGAGCCGAGGGTACTGATTCCCACATGGTGTTCAGCACCGGGTAAATGGTAGACTTTCCAAAGAGCTCATCATAATTCATTTTCGCCTAGTAGACCCGTGGCCGATCACTGACCCGGGAACTAACTACGGCACCTAGGCAGCGTATTGCGATCACGGCCTCTTCCTAAGGCCCTAGTAAACGTCAAATGAGTCAAAGGACGGGCATGGAGGTGCCTCGATTCCTCTAAGGTCGCAGAAAGTTTTCAGTCCGCTGTCATGACCTCGATGCAAATGCCTCCTTAATCACGGGTACAAGCAATTAGGGAGATCATTTCGAATACATTTCGTCGTCAGCATTGCGCCAGGAGACCAAGTCCACTTCAACTCGACAGCCATCAAATCCTACGACAGTTGTTCGCCGTGTTGCTTGTGCAGCTAGCCACAGTCTCGAGATGGGCTCCATCGCGCTCGAAGAGACAGAATCGGAGCGAGGTGTTAGCGAGCTAGCCGGCATTGATGTGTCTAAACTGGATGACGATGCGCTCTACTGGTGGCGCACCAGCGGATTGGACCTGGCCCGGATGATGAAGGAAGCTGGGTTTCCCGACAAAACGAAGAATCAGTTTCTCACGTTCTACAGTTCTATTATTTGTCCGTTGCTTAAAGGGAAGCCTCAGCCCGGATCAATGCCGACTGCCGTGGGCTGGGATGGCAATCCCTTTGAATACAGCTGGGAATTCAAAGGCTCCACCAAGAAGTCGAGTGTCCGGTTTGTCTTGGATCTGAGCGAGGTTCGCCCTCCAAATAAGAGCTGCCCCATGAGTGTGGATACGGTGGGAGAGGTTCTGAATGTTCTGAAGGACACGAGCCCACTTTATGATGATCATTGGGTACGTTTATCCGGGCGCCCTGCTGGCGGAGATGATGTCTTCCCCGAGCCACTATTGGAAAAGTGCCATTTTCAGGCTGCTTCGACAATCACAGCGAAGAAGTCACTTACGACTAACTCTGAATTTAGCATCGTGCGATTGAGCGATGGGCAGTGTATTCAAATGCATCGGCCGAGAGGCAAGAACTTTTGATATCCGAAGCGGGACATCGGACGCCTACTATTCTCGGCTTCGACATCAACCCCAAGATCACCGAAAAAGCGCCACATATGCTCCCCGTCATGATCAAGAGCTACTTTCCACCATGTTTCGTTGCTGCAGACCGCCGCCTCACGCGCTTCCAGGCCCTTTCCTTGGGCGTGCGCCAGTTGCCTGATATCGGGTCGTACCCAAATATCCTGCTCGGGCTGAAAATGATCGAAGATTTCGTGGCCTGCAACCCCAAGTATGAGTCTCAGGGCCGTGGGCTGTCCACTGATTTTGTGCCCGCCGGCGACGCCCGCCTCAAGGTGTACTTGCGGTACCTGGGCGATGACTTCGATGAGATCTGGGATTACTACACGCTCGGCGGGCGGATCCCTATCGAAGACCTGGACGAGGATAAGCAGAAGCTGCGGGACATCATCCAGCTCTCTCGGGGAATGTGCTATCCTGTCAGCAAGATCCGCGAGGAGAGCGCGGCCGACAAGAAACGCCGCGCCATCTTGGGCACGAAACCTTCGTCGCTGTACTTTTCGCTCACGCCTGACAAGCCCTACCCCATCCCCAAGTTCTACTTCTACCCGGGCTTTCAAGCGCCGAATGACGAAGCCGTAGCGCAGGGACTTGATCTCTGGCTGCAAAAATATGGATGGGCCGATGGCGGGCCGACCATCGAGGAGCGGACCAGGAACACGTTGTGAGTTTCCATCAATCACCCTCTGACCCCTCTCGTCCTATGGCCACTACCCACCTTGCTGACATCTCTGACAGCAAATACCGGAGCCTCGATGAGAAGCCGGGCATCTTCACATTCATTGGCTTCGGAAGGAAGGAAGGTCTTGACGACCGTGCGCTGAGTTTGCAAGTATATGTAACACCTGAGTTGTATGAAAACCCGCGTTTCTAAGGAGAAGAAGGACAAAGGGTCTACTCGCAAAGAGTTGGTAAATGTTATTGCATTAATTAGTGTGTTATGTGTTTTTAGCTATAGTAGTAAAATTATTCACCTAAAAGTGTTTCTCCTCGTTTCTAATCGAAGTGCTTTAATTCCAACTTTAACCGAGTAGCTGCTTAAATACAGTGTACTCGGTTCCAGAGATGTGTGCTGGAGCTAAAGCTTGATAATTGCTTGAAAAGAAATTCAGATGGCACGCTGCAACTTTTGATTCTATTTTAATTCTCCCCAAACGTCAACGCTAAACCCTTTCCGGACAACGAAGATGCCATTCACATACAAGTCAATACTTCTCGTGGGAGCCACGTCGGGAATCGGCGCCGGCCTGGCAGATCGATTCGTAGCTGAGGGTTCCCAGGTCATCGCCGTAGGTCGTCGCCAGGACAAACTCGACGACTTCGTCCAGAAGCATAATTCCGCCTACGCTGCCGCCATTAGATACGACATAACAGACAGCGCAAGCCTGAATGCCTTTGTCAACGAGTAGGCCGGACTTAATAAAACGACCCAACAGGGGCTATGGATTGAGGCTAACCACAACATTCCCCAGAGTTGTCATGAAATACCCAGACCTAGATGCCGTGTTCTTGAATGCTGGCGTCCAGAGCCAGATGCGCCTATCACGGGCTGCCGAGTTCGACTTCGCCAGCTTCCACCATGAAATAAACGTCAACTTCAACAGCATCGTCAACTTGGCTATGTCATTTCTGCCACACCTGCAGGCCAAGACACAGCCAACCAGTCTAATAATCACGGGAACTCACCTCGGCCTAGTGCCGGCTCCGACCATCCCTGCTTACTCGGCCTCAAAGGCAGCTCTGACTTCTTTCGTCGACTGCCTCCGGGACCAGAATCGCCACAAATCTACCAAGATTATCGAGATCTATCCTCCTGTTGTGCAATGTAAGACTTTTTTGACGTCCCTTCAGAGCTAGTGAGCTATTACGATCAACAAACCGCTGACAAGATGCCTCAGCCGAGCTTCATGATTATCTCGGGGAGGAGCTAGGCCGCTCTCTTGGAATGCCTATCGACCAGTTTACTAACGAAGCGTACGAACAGCTGTTACAGGGCGATGAGCTTATCGTCATCGGATCCATTGCCACCGAGCCTCGTGAGTCCTACATTGACCTCGTCGAGAAGCGCAGGGATATTTACAGCAAGCTCTCATCCGTCATGCTGGCTCGCTTCGAATTGTGAAGGAGGAATTTGGCGTTTGTTGTGGTGGAGACCCGTGCATTACGATGATTTGGGAGAGTAGAAAGTGGATAGTAAAGAGAACTCAGGGGTGGCAAATAAATGCATGGAAAGGGGTTGGTGACTCAGTATCTCATCAATTTTGTGCCCGTGTGCAGAACACATCCTGTTCCTAAGCTTTCAAGAAGTCGCCAGAAATCGTAGAGTCAGTCGATAGCTTCAATACTAACTACTCACACTTAGGCTCTGCTACGTATCATGATGCTTTTGCTAAAGTCCGGCGTGATGGAAGTCCCACGCACGTTATTAGCATACCGTCCTTCAAACCCATCCGGCATCTTAATTTCATAATCTATCAAGATGAAGATGAGTATCAACTTGATCTCAGCCGCCGCAAAAAACCGTCCCGGACATGCCGGCTTGCCAAACCCAAAGGCCATGTTCTCTTTCGTCACGGAGATGAACTGGTAGAGCTCACGGCTTGCATAGCCAATAGGGTCGGTCTTTTCTCCGGACCTCAGGTGGACAAACCGGTAGGGATCGAATCGCAGCGCGTCGGGGTACTTGAACTCGTCCAGGTTGACCGGGAGCGCGGGCACGGCGATGTCGACACCAGCGGGGATCAACGTTCCGTCTGATAGCTGGAACGACTGCAGCACGCTGCGCTGCATCCTCATGACGTTGGTCGGGTTAAGTCTTGCAGATTCACGCATGACCGAGTCCAGGAGCTTCATCTGGTAGAGGGCTTCAGTCGTGATCTTTCCGCCCTGGCCGTCCATCGCGGTTTGGATTTCCTTGCGGAGCTCAGTTATCACTTCCGGGCAGTGGCCGATGAGATCGTAAAGTCTTTCGAGCAGGTCAGCACGCGACTGATGTTGGGCAGATAGAGCCCTCGGGACACTCACATGTGAACAACGGTCAACGTTGTTGTATGAATGGCTGCCACGCCTAGTAAGATCAAGATCATAGCAATCTCTTCATCATTTTTGATGCCAAACTTGTCAGCCTTGTTGATCATCCACTGGAGCATGTCTTTGGGCTTTTCACCAGCCTCCTGACCTGCTGTCGCCTTCCGCCGCTCCTGGATTCGAGGGATGAAGTAATCATAGGCTTTTTGGCGATGGATATGGAGTCTCTTGACGGGAGCGATAAAACGAGCGGCGATGGCTCGCACCGGGCCCCAATTCGGCCAAGCCTTTAGTTTTGCGATCGCGCCGAAGAGGTCTACTGTGAAAGTGATGCTGTTGGTGATGTACTCTTCTTGCCGGTACATGTCAGAGCCAACGAACGCGAGGCCCGAAACGATAGCCACGACGCGTAGGAGCTTCGGGAAGACGTTCACCTCAGTATACTGCGCATTAGACCCAAGAGCCTCGTGAATCGACCGCTGGACCTCGCCGGACAATTCCTGGGTCAGAAGCGGGATGTGGCGAGTGAGATCCGCCTTGACGACATGGACCATTAATGGGGTCGCAAAGGTGATCCCTAATAATTTGGTTTCGAATGTCTACATAACGTTGTGAATCATGAAGGATGCCAAAAAGATGTGGTGGCATGCTGCACTAACCCTATCGTTTGCTACATTTCTGCTTACAACATGCTCCGGTTGCTTGTTGACTTCATCCGCAGCCAGTATGGGTAGTATCAATATGTTTCCTGGGACCGATTAGTCAATATGTCTTCCAAGTCGCTGCGATCAGCTTCCAAAGAAAAGGGCTATAGATACCATCTGTGGACTCCGTGCGCCAGACACGCGTTCGGAACTATCAGCAGTCAGTCAAGACCATTTGCTTTGGGCAGATATATGGAAACCTTTTGGTAGCCCTCTTGGAACACTTTTTGCGCATTTTGCTGGAAATACTGGCGCTTCTGTGCAGAGGTTCCCGTATGCTGTCCGAGAAGTGGGAAATGGGATGTTTTTGGGAGACTCAACAGCCATCGAAAAGCCAAGACAGCAATCAAGACGGCTAGAACACTGCCAGCAGAGTATATTTGCGCTTCAGCATCGCCGAAGGGCTGCACAATGTATGGAATCATGGAGCTAGCACCACTGCTCTGTTGAAGCAGGCTGAATGAACCTCTAAGACTGATACTTTGCGTTTTGAACTACGGAGTAGGAAGCGAAACGTGACCGAATACGGTCTCAACGACATGGAATGAGTTTTCTATAGGTGCTTCGGGGTCTTATTAGCGGCTGAGTTCTCGATATACTTAGTAATACTACTTAGTAAGAGTACTCATAACAAGGGCCGGCGAACTAGAGTTAGGCGTTAATAAAGATTATATTTTTTTTTATTCTAATTTCTACCCTTCTATAGTTAAGTCGCTAAATATCTTTAGCTTTTTCTTTTTTAAAAAAAAAACTTATTTATTTTTTTATAAAATATTTTTTATATAAAATAGCTTTTCTATGGTATTAAAATTATCAATAATTTAAAATAAGTTTAATTAGTATAACTAGTAGATTGTGATTGTTATAAATCTAATTAATACTAGTACTTTTCTACATAAGTCTTACGTGAAGTGGCTTGATTAATCCAGCTATAGACGCCTGTGCGCGCCCAGCCAAAATAGGTGTGGCCGACCCCTTACGTAACGGGATTCGGGCCGGCATTTGGGCCTCGGGCCTGGGCCCTGCCGACTTCCGCCTTGTAAGTCTCATACTAGGTGGGTATCTGGAAACAGCTGGGTCGGCCGACCTGAAAAGCTAGGTAAGCCAATGTTGGCCGCGCTAGGGCCGACCCCGAGTAACGCCCGCATGAGTGTCGCCGTGTCGGGCGCGAGGGCCGACCCCGAGTAATGTAGTAGTAGCTGTTGAGTAGCATTCTGGACTTCATCTTTGGTGCACCACCAGCTGCGCAGAATTGCAAGGTAACCCGAAGAACCCGGACCTCTTCCTCCACACGCCAAGATAAACAGCTCTGAATGCTTCGTGGAATATTCCTCAAAGTAAACTCTAAGGACTCAGACCTCTTGTAAGGGCAGTTGCGTACGCTCAGTGTTACTTAGCAGATGCACTATAAAGCAGTATATTTCCATATGAATTTCATCCTGTGTGCGAGAACTCAGTCATCTACCCACTCACGCAGTTTTCGATCTCTTTATCGTTTGGCCCTGTCCGTTCAGTCGCCGTGATGCCGTACCACCTCCCCTTAAGCCCGATCGATCGAGCTATTCAGCCTCCAGTGTACTACTTGCAAGTCCAAGATTCACTAATCTTGAGCGTATCGGTTTTCTGGACCATCGCCTATGTCCTCTACGTACGCCAGGGGTACCGCGACAAGTCCTATGGCATGCCACTTTTTGCCCTGTACGTTGTTGGGATATGCCCAGGATATGTTACCGATCTTGGTGATTGACTATCATATAGGGCGGGAAATATAGCATGGGAATTTCTCTTTGGCGTGGCGATGCCCACGTCTGTAGCCCAGGTGGTTTGCTTCGTACCATGGTTGGTTATTGACGTCTTTATCGTCCACACCACATGGAAGTATGGAGCGCGCCAGTTCAAACAGTCTCCTGTAGTCGCCAAAAACCTTGGGCTCGTCTTGGTTTTCGGGGTCAGCTTTGTGACTGCGTCCTTCTACTTCTTCATCAAGACCGTCGGACTGGATGCGGCTTCGTTTTACCTTGGTTACTCCGACCAGCTCCTAATTAGTATCACGTCCGTGGCACAGCTTCTGAGGCGAAATAACACCCTTGGACACTCCTGGGGTATTTGGTAAGTTGTACCTAGACAAGTCGAGGAATGATATGGCATCAGCATATATGCGCTCTAACTAACGGTTCATATACAGGTTCTGTCGAACATTTGGCACATTTCTCTCTATTGTATTGTTCTGCTGGCGGTACTTTCACTATCCTCATAGCTACCCTAGGGTCGCAGAGCCGATAGTCGTTTTCTTCTTCGTGGCGTCAGAAGTTTTTGATGTTTTATACGCATTTATATATGCACATATCGAACGGGTAGAAAAGGGCGCTATAGAAGAGAAAAGCAGATAAAGGGTTATTGAGAGGGTAATCAACTAATAGATAGAAATAGATAGAAATAAATATGTGAGGGACATGCCCTGGTTTATCTAATATAAGGGTGCCTTAATTGAAGCTATCTAAGCTAAAGAAGAAAGAAAGGTTCTTCGCTACTGGCGTGCGGGGAGAAAACGGGTATAGACCGCCCGCTTATCGGGCGGTGGATGGTGGCAGACCTTTTGGTGGCGCCTGCGGCGTAGCCTAAGGTAGCGTTGGCTTAGGCGCAGCCCGTAATATATGCCCCCTCCTTCCCCAGCGGCCCGCCCTATGCTAGAGAGACTATATTAGCTATTTAATAATAAGTTCTATTAATAGAAGCTAAGGATTAACCAAGTTCGCCAACATCAGCGACACACAGCAGGCCCAGATTGAGGCTGGGAAGTCGAGGTTAATACAGATGGATCCAGGGCATCTGATTGCCCTGGTGTTGCTGAACGCTATATTGCAGTGGCACCTGGGCCTCGCTAATAGTCAATTGAAATAGGTGGTCATGTTGCAATAGCCTCATTTTTGGATGGTCGGAAAATGGGTATGTTGACATAACACAAACTCATCGAGGCGCTACATGACGAAATCGTGAAGCAGAACTCCCGGCACGAAGAACAGGCCAGTGAGCCTGGAACAGTCGAACGTCCGCTATCGCCATTCTGTCCGTGGCAGCGCGGTCCGGTCCTGAGTTCAACGTTCAGATTACAATATCAAAAACGGGGAGGAGGTTTAAGCCATTCTTAGACGACTTCTCATCATTCTCCAGGCTCCCGTAGAGGCAAGGTGATTATTCAGCAGCGGTACAGATACATGGATACCAGACGATAGCATTAGCGACAAACTCTGTCGATGTTAGCGATGACAATGCGTCAGAATTGGCGACCAATTGGCATATTTCTTTCAGTCCAAGGCTCGATCTAGGGAAAATGTTGAAGAAGCCATGCCCGTAGAATAAAGGGGTGGTCAACAAGGGTTTGCTAGGCTTGCCAGAAAGGCCCACTGTGGCAAGCCCTCCTCCGACACCCGCAAGGGAGGTTTGCGAAGAGTCGTGGCAGATATAAACAGAAATCGTTTGATTGCTATTAGGCCTCCCGAATTCAAACCTAGTCGTCAAACTGTTTTGTCAGACTCTAGAGCGCCGTTATCGCCATTGTCGCCAGACAAGCTTAAGGACTACCGTTGCGCTAGGCAGTAGGCTAAGCGAGCATAGAATTCGCTCTACAACGCGTAAGGCAGCCAAAAAATAAAGACTAACCTTGTTAAATATAGCAGAATTTCATAAGGACCTCATAATTCATTTCGATATTCTCGTGTACTTAGACGTATGCTGACTATGAGGTACTGTAATAGTCATACCGAGAAATGGGCCGTTCTTGCGAGGATACAGAAGTGCGAGATTCTTGTGACATCTCCGAAATATCTTTGCGACAGGAGGTACCCAGGTAGTTACTCTTCATCTCCGTCAAGCCAAATCTCGTGTCCATCGCCTTGCTTACACGCCATGGCCAGACAACACACACACACGCCCACGGCTGCTGCCAACCAGAAAGCCAAGCCCGTGAATGAGTGAGACGTCCCATAGCTATAGACAAGGGCTCCGAGTAACGATCCGACTGAACGGCCCACACCGCTAGCCACATACGAAATGCTGTGTGTTCGCGCCAGGGCCGATGGGTGAGGGCACACACTGCAGTGCATGATTTGTGGTAAGCTTTTGCCATAAATGTTGATAGTAGGGGGCGAGAAGACAGTCACTCACAGTCTAATGAGCATAAGCGCCGTGGGTGTGACGAAGACCGCGCAGAAGATCAGTGTGACTTGTATCAAGGTAATGAGCATCCAGACAGCCGGAGACTGCCCGTGCTCATTCGTCGCCGATTTCGTGAGCTTACTGACAACGGCAATGAATGGAGCAGCGCTGTAGATGATGGGAAACCCTCGCATGAAAAGACGCCAGGCTTTCAAAGCACCCAGTTTATGGATGACTTTAGGGTACACGAAGAACTGAACCGGAAGACCACATGCACCGACGATCGACAGTGTGAAGCCAATCTCGGAAGGCGTCATTCCCGGACCGCCAGAGAAGCGGAAGGGCAGAGAGTCGTTAACACCAGTCGCCGGAGGATCACTGAGGAAATTGACCCAGAGTACGGTGTACGCCCCTATATGGCTGTCATGTATGGCAGATACCATGAGCATAAGGACGAAATTACGGGTCCAAATCCATCGGAAAGGAAGCACTGGGGGAGCTTTGCTCTTCTCGGGGATGGGCGTAAGCGACCCGCTTCTCTTCTCTCCTTGCTTTCCGTCATCACATTCGTCGTCCGAGTCGTTTGGATCCTCCACATCCGCGTTACCTTCTTCCACGTCATCCCCTACTATGAAAGGCACAGCCTCCATTTCCGTTGAATCCTCGTCGTCCAATGGTGGATACGAGGCGCTGTGACTCTTCTGACCGTAGAAACAAGATAAAGCCTTTCTTGAGATTGCTAGACCAAGGTCGGGGTCACCCCTCTTCTGTGGATGTGTCTTGGATCGTGGAATATTATCAGCACGCCAGATCGTACCTCCAGGGAGCCATTGGAGGACATACCTCTTCAAGGAAGAAGAAAATCGCAATGAATGTTATGAGCAACATTGATGCATTGACAAAGGCGGGTGTTGCGTAGGGATACTTCTTGAGGAATGAGTTGTTCCCATATTTCTCAGGATACGTACTCGCAAGGTCGGCCAGTTGGCCTCCCATAATTGGGCTCAAGAGGGTGGACAAAGTGGTAGCCATGGTGGTCATGACGAATGCTCTGGATAGGAATCTGTAGCAGTACACTTTAGTCAGCCTTGGTACGACCACTCGCATAATGCATAAAACAAGACAAGGGATGGAATGGTGCCTGCCTCGTCTCGCCCACGATCTCAGTTATTACAGTTCTGGCCGTTGCTACGTTGCCATTGAAAACTCCTTCAAGACCCCATAGAAGTACCAGTTGATAGAAATGACTGGTAAATCCCAGGAGTGAAGAACTGATGACTGGAAACACACCACCGTTAATATCGATGTCAGACAATGCGAATATCTCCCTCGGAGTATAAGCTTACCTGAAGCTGCTGTGCCGAGCAGGAGAACCCTTTTGCGACCGTATTTTGGGTTGTCCGCAAGCTCGCTGATCCATAGTGATGACAAGCATTGTCCAATGATGTAGGCAGTTGATACTGTGGCAGACTGACTAACAATTTGCCCAGATGAGAGCGAAGGGTCCAGATTCTTCAACTGAAAGTAGAGGTACGTCTATTCAAGTTCATTATGAGCTTGGTGATTGCGACGAGCATTCGAAAGGCAATGTAGGTATAATCAGCTAAGGATGCTCACTTACAGAGGCAGACGACCTGACACAGGGTTCCGCAAAACGCAACATGAACAGAATCCCCAGCTGTCCTTTTTTGGGCATATCAATCCAACTTACGCTTTCTTGAGAAGAAGCCATCTTTGGTCGAACCTTTTTCCTGGCACCAGCCAAGCAAGTTGGCCACAATAAAACCACCTCGCAATAATATGCAGCCTAAGGCTTGGTAAGGGCAGACAAGTTCAAATGAGGGTGTTGATTCAAAGTCATACTCAGGTGAGGAGCATTTCCAAAGCGAAGGGTGTTACTAACACATTGCGCGTCACGGTTTCTATGCAGGGATCTTCTACATCAGTTTTAAGCACGCGGCCCAAAGCTGACTTGCATACAGGGTTCGCGATATAACTGGACTGCGTTTAGACCCTAGATTCATGATTCTGGAGCCTAAATACCATGGCTGATCTTCGTGGTCATGTACAGCCACCAGCACCCGGGGAGAGCCGGGACGACTGTGACCCAGTACCAGAATCACCATGGTCACTGAGGAGCAAAGCCGGTGTTAATGAAGACCAGGCCCGAGTCGCACAGCCCGACTGGCCAGACCCGAGTAAGCTCCACAGACCCGAGTAAGCTTCATAGACCCGAGTAAATTGCACAAACCAACCTCCAGGCAAGGAAGCTTGGAACACCCTAAACATCCTAGCATTCCTACCCGACAACAATGTGTTTTCATGTGCCCAGTGAAAAATTGAGTTTTGGGGGCGTCACTGTCGAGGAATGTCACTTCCAGTCTAACACGCTGTCCATAGACTGTGGCGAGTCATGAGTCTTGCGAATCAGCTCAATGTACCCATCCGCTTCTACCGTAACACTAATTAGCATGTTGTACTTTTCTCAATGACTCTGAACTCTGAAAGTTGGTGATTCTTCTAATTCAACACATTAGCATCCCTGGGACGTATCACGAGAATGCGTTCATTATCTGAAATGTTCCCATTCAGCAGGATATTTGCGCACGGGCGCAGTTCTGACCGCGATGAAATTGCATACAAGTCTGTTGATTTACAAGCCGACGATGATAACCAACCCACGCCTGACAAACCATCCATGGTTCAGTTGGCGAAGGTCCAGAAGAAGCTGAGATTCTTTCGCACCGGATTCTATATCACCCATGCCTTCCAAGCTTTGTTCTTCGCGTTGTGGTTCTTCCGCGACGGCGACGCACCACACCCGCACGCCACATATCGCGATATTGAGTGGAGTGGTCTCCTAGGCGAGGACTGGAACGGGATTGTTCCCAATGGTACGTAAAGTCCAACAAAGATGCAGAGCGGCCCTCAACCACGCTTACCGTTACTAAGATGTATCGTGGCATTAGGAATCGGGTACCCATTAAAGCTGACCTACTGGGGTCAAGACCACCCTTACTATATGCCCGAGAACATATTCGACGACTTTGACAAGTCAATGGCTATGATCAATCACTGGAAGCATATGCATAATAGTAAGTCTGGATCATTATCATTTGCCAAGATGTCACGGTTGACCTCTTGGGCCTTGATCACAGGCTCCAGCATATTTATCAGGCCAGATGAGCCCCGTGCCAAGCGAATCAAGCCCGATGGCAATATCGCCGAGTTGCCACCGTTCTGGCCTTGGGATCCCCTTGAAGACGGCAGGGAGCTCTACGCCATTCGCGGCTTCCACCAAATGCATTGCATAGTAGGGACCAATTTCACACCCCCTCCCCTCGGCTTCCCTTGAAGACGATCGTACTCTCCGACGATGGCTAACTTAGAAAACTTTGCCCTGTTGTAGTTTGTTATCTCCGAAGAGTTTACCTACCATTACGGGCGAACCAACGACTCGCTCTGGACGGCCGGACATGTGGCACACTGCATCAACACCCTTCGCGACGCCATCATGTGCATGGCGGATGCCCAGCCCTTGTCATATGTCAACGGTTACAAGAACGGCCACGCAACGGATGATCAGGCCATGATGTGCAGAGACTGGGAGGAATTGCACAAGTTCGTCACTGACCCTGCGAGGGGATTGCGGATCAAGAATATCGCGCCTGCCGGAAGCAAGAACGAGAAGATGGCCCCCATCATACCTTATCCTCACTTGACTGACCCAGAGCTGAGGGGCATAGCGTGATGGAAAAGTTCACGGGATTATGTACATGATAGAGCGCAGAGTACCTAGAAGACCATTTAACAAACGGCTCGAAATTGTCCGACTGTCCATGACAAAACTCGCACAATGATGACAATCATGGAGTACAGTTAAAATGATGGAAATGACCACTGGGAGATACCTAGGGGCTGGGATGGGCTGTGCTTTTGCGTCGTTCTTTGTCGTTTTCTAGAGCTATCAAATCGTCATCTTGCCTTTTTTCTGCACCCATACATAGTGCGTTTGTGGTATGAATCTAGGTGACACACACCTCGCCTTCGGGTCCCGGGACAAGCTTGCTGTCTTTCACGGTGCCTTTCTCACCCAGTAGGGTAGTGCGGATGATAACTACACTTCTACCCCTGAGTTAAAAATACGGCCTCCAGATGGGAGTATCGCAATATGACAGTAGCCATCATCACCTGAGATGTTATGCGCCAGGACTTCGGGGCAGAGGTATGCGAAGATGGCTGAACAGGTATCAAAGTGTATTAAGCTAGAATCTCAGTTAACAATGTACAGAAATGAAAAACTATTTGTGCAATCATGTGCGCAACTGCAAACCCACATGGCGGCACAAGAAGTCGTAGCCATCTACAACAGCTTGTCTAGCAACCGCCGTAGGAACTCTCTGCAACCCTCCCAAGTCGAACAAGTGACCTACACCTTCCACAATCCTCAACTCTGCATTAACATGAATCTCTTGCAGCGCCTCCCACGTCCGCTGGGCCTGCTGCCACGGTATCAGGTCATCTCCTCGTGGGTGCAGGATAAAAGTCGGCGTCGTGTAGTTGCCGGCCCTGACTTGCGCCAGCGGGCTGACCGCTACAATATCGGCCTGCGCCGGCGCAGCAGGCTCTCTGCGCATTTTCTTGTCCAAGCCCGCGAGCAGGACGTGCAGTGTGCGGCCGCTGCAGTTCATGTACAGCGCCAGCCTGCTGCGCGGGTCCGAGGGTGCGAGCCAGCCACCCAAGGCTTTCTTGCTGGGGGCAACATTGTACTTGGTGATGGGTGCGTCGAAGACGCCTTTGGTCCAGAGATGCTCGTCGAGCTCGAATGATGCCCCCGTGGCCGCCTCAGGTAAACCTGCGCCTTCGGGAATGTTGGGACGCATCCAGAATGGATCTTCGTAGTCCAGCGGGCAATACAAAGCGAAGATGGCCTCGGGAGGCTGTACTCCGCGGGCCTTTGATGTCCAGGCCAGTGTCGTGGCGAGGTGCCCGCCCGTGGACCAGCCTATGACCACAACCTTGGACGCGTCCACGGATATGTCTGATCTAGAGAGGGCAACGTGGGGCAATGTGGTGCGAATCCAGTGCAGGCCGTCGACGACGTCAGTCATTGGCCCCTCGGACAAGGTCGTTTCGGGACAGAGCCTGTAGTCAATGCTAATGGGGAGGAAGCCAGCATCCAGGAGCATGGCGGTTTGGTCTGCTCGGACATCGTGCCTCGAAAGCATAATGTGGCCACCTCCGTGAATCATGAGCGCTGCGTAGAAAATGTCAGTCTGTGGCTGCGTCGCATGATGGAACGCAATGGGCAATTAGTAGTCTCGCTCACCTACGGGAAGTGTCTTTCCGGGCTCAACGAGCTCGTCTGGATAGTGAATGTCGGCGTAAAGTTTCTGGCCGTCGACTTCCTTGAATTGGACCGTCTCCAGACGCAAAGGAGCGTCGAATGGGGATGCCGTGATGACTCTGAGGAGCTGAGACTCCTTCGTCGAGCTGCGGCTCCAGTCAACCCACTTGAAGCCGGCTGCGAGGAGATCCTTTTTCCACAGCTCCTCGCTCGCCAAGGCATGCCATCGGCCATCAGATGACAGCCACCATCCCTCTAGAAGCCCAAAAACAAGGTCAAACCAATAAAGGTTCTGCGTCAACTCCACCAGGCAAAGCAGCCCATCTGGCTTCAACATTTCATGGATGTGAGATGTCGAGTTCACGAGGTCTCTTGTGGCATGGATGCAGTTTGTCGACAGGATAATATCGTACTTGCCAACAAAGTCAGGTCGAGTATCCTTCTCGATATCAACCACTTGGTACTCCATGAAAGACCATTTCGAAAACTTGCGCTTTGCTGCTGCCACAAGCGAAGACGATAGATCCGTGAATGTGTAGATGAAATTGTGGCCCAGTCCGACCAGGGTCTCAACAACATTCTTCGTCGTTCCTCCCGTGCCTGCACCAAGCTCGAGTATCCTCAGCTCTCGCTTTCCACCCATGTCTCTAAGCAAGGATGATAGGTACTGAGACAGCACAAGCGTTCCGGTTTTGAACATGGGCGCGTTGGTGTAGACGTCTCCGAGAAGCTCACGGGCAGCCGCATTCCCAAAGAGAACTGAAACTGGGTCAACCCGTCCAGTCAGGCAGTCGGCCAGCTGTTGACCTGTGGAGTGGAGGAGCATAGTTTCCGAGGTGTGCTTTGGAAACTTTTGCAGTAGCTCGTCCTTGAGAACAGACGCAGGGACTGTGGGGACGGGTAGCTGTGTCCGGATAAACTCTCCGTCTGCCCGTTTGCTGAGCAGGCCGGCCGTGGCCAAGATTTCGTGCAGCTGAACTATGACCTTGGCGTGCTTTGGAAGGGCTTCCATGGGCGGGAGCGTGGCACCAGGGGCGACTGATGTTAGGTCACAGCCGAGGGAGACGAATGCTGTCAACACGTATTGCACCACGAGGGCGGACTGGGTGGGGAAGACGTCGGCGTAGAAGTCGGTGAAGCCTGTGTCTTCGGCGTGCCTGTCGTAGGAGACTATCGTCTCGGAGAAGATGTGGCGGCCTGCGACTGCAAGAGGCGTGCTGCCTGGAACTTCTTTGTCCGTGAAGCCCGTGGAAGAAGGGACAACGTGACTATCGTGGAGCGAGCTGGCCGAGTTGCTGGCGCGAGAAACTTCCGATGTTGAGGCTCTTGGCATCTTGTCCCGTCGCTGGGGCTCGCCTCCACTCAAAAGATCTGCCACCCCTCGCACATCAGCACAGTTGGCCAGCTTCTCCTGCGCGACGACAATCCCAAAACGGGTCTTGATCTCGGCCAACACCTCTGTTATGAGCAGGGAGTCGATGCCAAGAGCGTCCAGTGAAGAGGTTGGAAGCACCTCATCCACGGCTATCTCAATGATCTCGCTTAGCATCGTTCGCAACTTGGATAAGGCGTCATTCGGTTCGGCAGTACCGACAGTGACTGCGAGCGGATCCAGCTGGGTGGCTTCGACCGTGCCGAGGGTGATCTTTTGAGCAGGTGCCCATTCTGGATCACTTCGCTCCGATTCGTAGCCAGAATCCACCGTGACGACTGGCTGTTCCTCAACCTCTACGGCCGAGGATTTGTTGAGCCTGGTAAGGCTCTTTGCCAGAGACTTGAGTGGGACACCTTTGAAGTTTGCCCCCAAGACGGCCATAACAATCTGACCGGTAGCGGCCTCACACACGAATATGTCATTCGTTCTCGTGTTGGCGGGCGTGTTCTCGTCGAACCGTGTGTGTACAATCCACTCACGGTCAGCGCTTCTCTTGTCCACGCAATACGGGGTGAAAATGATCTCGTCTATAGAGGTGCACATAAGTACAAATCTCTGGTCTCTGGGTGACAAGCAGTTGGTGTGAATTCCAGCAACCTGGAGAAAGTTGTCCAACATGATGGGATCCGTGATGCCCGCATCAATCAGCCCGTGCTGCTTCGCTGGGACCTTGACCGTAGCGGTAGCCACATTATCAGACGCAGATATGCTGTGAACACCCCGGTAGTAGTCGGCGTAGTCAACGACGTTTGAGAACATGTCATATACCATCACCCCACTCATACCGGTAGCCATTGCTGATGCAGAGGTCTGGCTTGTCCCTAGGCGGCCGAGCACCCGGAGTCGTCGTTCCGCCATGGCGTCGTCGGCCTGCTGCCACGAAAAGGAACCGGTGGCATGCCTTGTCGGCACATCAACTGGTCGCGAGCTGGTGGTCGCTTGGCTGCTGATGACGAATTTCCACGATTCCGGTGCCGTCTGGTGGAGGTGCACGCGCACCACGGTTCTATCGCTGGTCCCCAGAGGAGCCAGCATCGTAAGACACTCAACATGTGGCACACGCTTTTGTTTGGAACTGGTGCGATGTGCGTCTAGACTGGCAGATTGGGCGACAATCTCCATGTACATGGATGCCGGACACAGGTGCTGACCAGCGACTGCGTGGCCACTCGCAGCCAGTTGGAATGTGTCACTAGATGTGTTCACCTCCGAGATGAGCTCTCCGTTTGCGCGATCATGTTTCACCAATTTGACAAGCCGCGGAGCCCGGGTGGTCTCGATCGTGGCTGGTGATAGCCTTTGCTCCAGCAAGAGCCAGTGAGACGTCTGTTCGAACTGGTATGGTGGCACGTTCACCTTTTGGTAGCGATACCCAGATGATGGATGGTGCAGCCAGTATTGAGCAGCCGAGCCTGCCTTCCACAGCTCACAGGCTGCCTTTGCCAAATTTCGCATAGCGTTCGCTGCGCCCAGCTGCATTGGCAAGAAGACGTCGGATCTATTCGTTGCGTTGATGGCTCGTTTGGCCATGGCGAGAATGGGTGTTGCCGATCCTGATTCAACCCAGATTGCTCTGGGGAAACGACTTGCGATACGATTCACAGCCTCGTTGAGATAGACAGGCTGTCGTGTATGATTCACTATGGCCTCGGGTGTGAAATTGGTCCATGCCTCATGAAGGGTGCAGGTCTCGATGGGGATGCGAGGTGGCTGAACCTTGACGGAACCAGCAATCTTCAACAGGTCCTTCAGTATCGCGTCTGTCAGGTGAGAGTGGTACGCATGAGTGTTGCCCAGCTCGTGTACCTTGAAACTGCGGCACAGCTCTGCAGCTTTCGCAATGGAGAGGGTGTCACCGGCGAGCACAAACTGCTGCGGGCCATTATAGCAGGCGACTTCCACGCGTAGACCGTCTCCCGAGTTGACTTGTGAGATGATATGATCGAGATCGGCCCTGGTGCACTCCACC